CGTCTGCACTCTGACATGGGTGGTGAGTTCTCTTCTGGCGTCCTTGAGACGTTCTGCCAGGATGAGGGCATCGCCCAGTCGTTCACGCTTCCGGCCTCTCCGCAGCAAAATGGGATCGCTGAGCGTCGCATTGGCCTGATCATGGAGGTTGCTCGTACCTCCATGATCCATGCGGTTGCTCCCCATTTCCTGTGGCCGTTTTCGGTCCGATACGCCGCGCATCAGCTCAACCTCTGGCCCCGTGTCTCTGCTCCAGAGACCTCGCCCACACTTCGTTGGACGGGACAGCCTGGTGATGTGTCGTCGTTTCGGGTCTGGGGCGCGCTCTCCCTTGTTCGCGATACCAAAGCGAGCAAGCTCTCTCCTCGCACTCTCCGCTCTGTCTTCCTGGGCTTCCCCACCGACGCTCCACCCTGGCAGTTCTACCACCTTGCCTCACGTCGTGTTCTGTCCTCTCAGGACGTCACCTTCGACGAGTCGGTCTGTTACTACCGACTTCACCCGCACGCGTCCCACCCGGTCCCCCTTGCACCCCTCTTCCTAGTACCAGTCCCCCCCCCGGTAGACCCCCTCCCCCCACAGGGTCCTGCTCCCTCAGGTGTGTCCCAGGTAGACCCACCCCCCTTGGATGAGCCAGTTGAGATCTCTTCTGACTCCTATGACTCACCTGAGGGGGGTGACGCCGTCGCCGACGACACGGCGACCACTCGCCACACTCCTCGCTTGGCGACCCCCCCGGGGTTCCCACCTCTGCCGTCTTCGCCGCCTCTGCAGCCTACTGCTGTGGACACTGGAGCAGAGACTGAGGGTGCTGGGACTGAGGGTGCTGGGACTGAGGGTACTGAGCCTGAGGGTGCTGGGACTGAGGGTGCTGGGACTGAGGGTACTGAGCCTGAGGGTGCTGAGACTGAGGGTGCTGAGACTGAGGGTGCTGGGACTGAGGGTGCTGAGCCTGAGGGTGCTGGGACTGAGGGTACTGAGACTTTGGGTGCTGACTTTGGGGGTGCTGAGACTTCGGGTGCTGACTCAGGAGGTGCTGCTGGTGCTAGAGGTGCTGGAGGTACTACTGGAGGTACTAGAGGTGCTGCTGGTGCAGGAGTTACTGGAGCTGCTGGTGCTGGGGGTACTGGAGCTGCTGCCGGTGCTGGAGGTACTGGAGCTGGTGGCACTGGAGGTGCTGGTGCTCCTGGTGCTGGAGCTGCGGGAGCTGCTGACCCTGGAGGTGCTAGTACTGCTGGTGCTGGAGGCGTTGGAGCTGGAGGTACTGGAGGTGCTGGAGCTACTGGTCCCGGAGGTGCTCGTACTGGAGGTGCTGGAGCTGCCGGAGCAGGTGGTACTGCTGGTGCTGGAGGTTCAGGAGGTGCTACTGGAGCTGCTGGCACAGGAGGTACTGGAGGTGCTACTGGTGCTGGAGGCGCTGGAGCTAGAGCAGGAGGCACTGGAGGTGCTGGAGGTACTACTGGTGCTCGAGGTGCTGGCGCTGTCGGAGCTCGTGGTGCTGGAGGTGCTGGTGCTACTGGTACTGGAGGTGTTGTTGGGGGTACTAGAGGAGCTGCTCGTGCTGGAGGTACGGGAGCTACTGGTGCTCTTCGCCACCTTCTCAGTCTTCCGCCAGGTGCTACTGGCTTCCCTGTGGCAGGTACTACTCCTCCGTTGCTGTGTCCGCCAGCGGACCAGTCACAGCCACCGCTGCTACCACACTCCCCACTGCCTGCTCCTGCTCCTTACACTGCGGTGTCAGAGTCCTTGACTGAGCGTCGAGAGCCTGAGACTCGTGTTTCCACCCCTAAGCGTCGAGAGCCTGAGTCTAGCTTTGACCTTGAGCCTGAGCCTAGAGCTGCTGTCCTTGCTCGTGTTCCTCGTGTTCGTCGTCCGCGTGCTCCGGCTGTCCCCGGCGCTCACGATATGACACTCCGTCCTTCCTCTGTTCCTCGGCGTGTTGTACTACCGTTACCTCCTGCGTCCTCTCTGCCTGACGTTGCTAACCCTCCGTCTGACCTTGCTTGTGCGTCCAGTCCGACTGTTACTCGCCTTCTTGCTACGGTTGTGACAGACCCTACGTTCTCGTCTCCTGCTGCGTCTACCCTAGTAGCTGAGCTTGTTGACTTTGCTGCTGTGTACCGCCTAGACTACCTTGCGAGTCTTGTCTCTGACCCTGTCCCTGCCTGTCCTCCGTCCGTCGGGGGTGAGACTGCTCTTGGCTGTACTGCCCTTGGCTGTGACGTTCTTGAGGACAGACTGGAGGAGCTGGAGTGCCTTGCTGCCGCTTCACCCCATCACACGACCATGCTGCTTGCCCCTGAGGGAGACCCGGATGCACTTGACATCCCCACCCCGCGCTCCTACAGGGAGGCGATTTCGGGTGAGAACTCCTCTCAGTGGTAGACAGCCATGGACGCAGAGATGGCTTCTTGGAAGTCCACAGGCACCTACGTCGACGAGGTTCCCCCACCTGGGTCGAACATCGTCAGTGGCATGTGGATTTTCAGGGTGAAGCGGCCGCCGGGTTCTCCGCCTGCCTTCAAGGCACGTTACGTTGCTCGAGGCTTCAGTCAGCGTGAGGGGGTCGACTTCTTTCAGACCTTCTCCCCCACCCCGAAGATGACCACTCTTCGGGTGTTGCTACACGTTGCAGCTCAGCGTGACTACAAACTGCACTCCCTCGACTTCTCGACAGCTTTCTTGCAGGGTAGCCTTCATAAGGCCATCTGGTTGCGCCGTCCACAGGGCTTCTTTGGGTCGTTTCCTGAGGGTACCCAGTGGAGCCTATGGCGACCAGTGTACGGCCTGCGTCAGGTGCCCCGTGAGTGGCACGACACACTGAGGACGACACTTGCGGCTCTTGGGTTTGCTCCTTCGACTGCTGACCCGTCGCTGTTTCTACGCACCGACACTACTCTGCCGCCGTTCTACATCCTCGTGTACGTCGACGACTTGGTTTTTGCTACTGCTGACACTGAGGCACTGGCCCTAGTGAAGGCAGAGCTGCAGGAGAGACACACTTGCACTGACCTGGGTGAGCTGCGGAGCTATCTTGGCTTGCAGATCACCCGGGACAGACCACGGCGCACCATCACCCTCACTCAGTCACACATGGTGCACCAGGTCCTTCAGCGCTTCTGCTTCACTTGGTCCTTGCCACAGCCCACTCCTCTGTCTACCGGCCACTCGCTCTCAGCTCCACCTTCGGACGAGTCCGTAGAGCCGAGTGGTCCGTACCCAGAGCTTGTGGGTTGCCTCATGTACCTGATGACGTGCACACGACCTGACCTCGCGTACCCTCTCAGCCTCCTGGCTCGCTACGTGGCACCTGGTCGACACCGAAAGGTGCACTTTGATGTTGCGAAGAGGGTACTGCGTTACTTGTGCAGCACATCGGGCATGGGGCTCGTGCTTGGAGGACGGGGTTCGGTGGTCCTCACAGGACACTCTGACGCTTCTTGGGCCGACGGCCAGACGACTCAGCGTTCGTCACAAGGTTACACCTTCAGTCTTGGCTCTGGTTCTGTCTCATGGAGGTCCACTCGTTCTTCTTCTGTGCTTGGTTCCAGTTGTGAGGCCGAGATCTACGCTGGGGCCATGGCTGCACAGGAGCTACGCTGGCTGACCTACCTGCTGACCGACTTGGGGGAGCGGCCTCGTTCTCCTCCGGTTCTGTACGTCGACAACAAGGCAATGCTTGCCTTGTGTCGCGAGCAGAGACTGGAGCACAGAACGAAACACATTGCTCTTCGCTACTTCCTCGCGCGTGAGCTGCAGCAGCGTGGTCAGCTGCGCCTTGCTTACGTGGCCTCTCGGGCCAACACTGCTGATGTCTTCACCAAGGCCCTTGGGGCTGGTGATCATCACCGTTTCTGCACTGCTCTTGGGCTTGTGCCCACTCTGCCTCACCTGTTGGTTGCTTGACTTGCTCTTGTTTTACATTGCTATATATCTTTATACATGCATGTTTTATCTTGCTAGGTTGTGATCAGTGTACTGCCTTGCTATTATATACCTCTGCATGTGAACTGGCCTTGTGGCCACTTGCTTGTGCTCAGAATGCGTGGTGACTTTGTGATCCACCCTGAGCGGTGTTCTCTTCTGCAGACTGGTCTTGTGACCGCTTGTTGTGTTTGCTGTCCCCTACTTTGCCTATGGGGGTGTGTCAGATTACAATTGTATCTCTAGGCTACAGTAGGGTCACTCCTTAGTGAGTACAACACTTTAGGGTTAGGTTTCCCCTACTTGTACTCACCTCTTGCCTAGTTCAATTCATCATTCCTAGTTCTATTCTTGACAGACCGCGCGCTCATTGGTCGCGCATTTGGCCGAAATTGAACGCGAATCTATTGTTGGTCGTGCATTTTTGTCGGTTTCGTGTACACTGTGGGCCACGTTCGAGCCCGCCACCCACCTGAAATTTCCGGGAGGGGAATAATACGAAACCCTACCGCGGGAGGAGACCCGCACGAACGAGGCATTTCGGGGATATAATCCCTTGCAGGGTAATGTGCCAGGGAAAAAAAACACATCGAAAATGCCCTGACGTGGCCACTCCAGCAATTATTACCAAATTTGATGGCCACTCGAGCAATTCGGGGACACGCGGGCAAGAGCGAATCACGAAACACGACACTGGAGCAATTCTCTCGTATTAAAGCCCAAGACCTGAATTACTCAACGGAAGTCAACGCTAAAAACTAGGTTCGGGAGGCAGGCACGGAGAGGTTCGGCTGGGTTGCGAGAGATTTTCACTCGCGAAACCAATTTGCGACAAAAGTTTCTCGCTTCCCATGATGGTTGGTGCCCTTCCCACAACCAGAAAAGCGCGAGCTTATCAAACTGTGCACAGTTTGGGATAGCACGCAGAGTATTAGGCATAGACCATACCTGTAGACAGGGCAGGGCGTCGGCGTTCACTCAAAAGGGAGTAGATGCGCCATATGATTTGGGTGGCGCGGATTTGCAATGATGACGCGCAAAGCTAGTTTGCGCTGGGTGAAGATTATTGTGTCGAAATGCAGGTTATTGTGCAACTACTCCGTAGCGTAAACTCGTGGCGAAAATCGAATCGCAACCGTTCGCCCAAACGTGACCCTCCCCTCGCCCTCGCTTTCCTTTCCCACGCTTCCGCTCTCTTTCGCCCGCGTCGTCGCCATCGCTTCCGCAGCTCGTCGCGTGCCCGTCGCCTTCGCTCCGCCCGTCGCCTTCACTTCTCCCCCGTCGCCTTCACTTCTCCCCCGTCGCCTTCACTCCCCCCCCACTTCCGTTGCCTTCATTTCCCCCTCCCGTCGCCTTCACTTCCCCCTCCCGTCGCCTTCACTTCCCCCTCCCGTCGCCTTCAATTCCCCCTCCTGTCGCCTTCATTTCCCCCTCCTGTCGCCTTCATTTCCCCCTCCCGTCGCCTTCATTTCCCCCTCCCGTCGCCTTCACTTCCCCCTCCTGTCGCCTTCACTTCCCCCTCTCGTCGCCTTCACTTCCCCCTCCCGTCACACTCGCTTCCCCACCCGTCACCTTCACTTCCCCTCCCATTGCCTTTCACTCTCTCCTGCTCAATCTCTTTCCCCCTGCTCACTCTCTTCCCCCCTGCTCACTCTCTTTCCCCCTGCTCACTCTCTTCCCCCCTGCTCACTCTCTTCCCCCCTGCTCACTCGCTTCCCCCCTCCTCAATCTCTTCCCCCCTGCTCACTCTCTTCCCACTCTCTTCCCCCCTGCTCACTCTCTTCCCCCCTGCTCACTCTCTTCCCCCCTGCTCACTCTCTTCCCCCGTGCTCACTCGCTTCCCCCCTCCTCAATCTCTTTCCCCCTGCTCACTCGCTTCCCCCCTCCTCATTCTCTTTCCCTCTGCTCACTCCCCTTGTTCTAACCCCACTTTCCCCATTTCTCACCCATTTTCCCCCTTCACGCTCTCTTACCCCCTCTGCTCGCCCCTGTTTTCCCAACTCACGCCTATACTCACTCTCTCCCCCCCTGCTCACTCTCTTCCCCCCCTGCTCACTCTCTTTCCCCTTGCTCACTCTCTTTCCCCCCTTCTCACTCTCTTTCCCCCTTCACGCTCTCTTTCCCTCCCTTCCGCCCGTTGCCCCCCTTCGTCTCGCGCTCGTCCCCTCGCAATCCCCGTCTCTCTCTCCCCCCGCCGCCCTCGTTTTCCCCGTCGCCCTCCCTTCCACTCCTCGTTGCCCTCGCCATCCCTCCCTTCTCCCTTCCCATCTCGCACACTTGTCACGCCCCCTTTCCAACCCGCATATACACCCTTCCCTTCTTCCCTGTTTCCTCGTATCCCCTGCGCTGCTTCCCCCCATCCTCCGACTTGCTCCCCCCATCCCCTTCCCTGCTTCCCCCCAACCCCTTCCCTGCTCCCCCCCATCCCCTTCCCTGCTTTCCCCCTTCCCCTTCCCTGCTTCCCCCCGTCCCCTTCCCTCCTTCCCCCGTCCCCCTCCCAGCATCCCCCCATCCGCTTCCCTGCTCACCCCCATCCCCTTCCCTGCTCCCCCCCATCCCCTTCCCTGCTTCCCCCTATCTCCTTCCCTGCTTCCCCCTATCGCCTTCCCTGCTCACCCCTGCTCCCTCTGTTTCACCCTTGCTCCCTCCCCTTCTTCTCTGCTCACTCTCTTCCCCCTTGCTCACTCTCTTTACTTCTGCTCACTCTGTTCCCCCCTGCTTCCTCTCTTCCCCTCTGTTCAATCTGTCCCCCGCTGCTTCTTCTCTTCCCCTCTGCTCATTCCGTTTACTGTCTTTCCCCCTTCACTCACCCCCATACCCCCTAATGCAGTTACAGGTGCTCAGCACCAGATGTGGCTTTACCACGGCCTGGTTTATTGCTTGCAGTGTAGCAGACAAACCGGAAAACAACATTACACATACACCCCCTAGCTTTGTTCCCTTCTCGAGTCTGGTGATTCCCCTTACTTTACAGATACGGTAATATATTAATTGTTGAACTCCTTGGTATTGGTCATGTGTATGATTGCTCTGAGGCTCATAATCCTGTATTATAAAAAAAGAATCCAATATATGGCATGGCTATACGTGTGTTACTATCAGACAGCTAGCACATGCACAACCAGATGCAGAGCAGACCTGTCCAAACATTAATCAAGAAGTCAGATGTGACGTGGCTGAAGTATAAGGGAATGACAACTGGCAAATGAGGAAGGGAGGAACGGAGGAAGGGAGGAAGTGAGGAATGCAGGAATGAAGGAAGGGAGGAAGTGATGATGGGAGGAAGGGAGGTAGGGAGGACGCTTGGGGGAGAAGCAGAAGGGAGGGGAGGAAGAGAGGCTGGGGAGGAGGGTGGGGAGGAGGGTGGGGAGGAGGGTGGGGAGGAGGGTGGGGAGGAGGGTGAGGAGGAGGGTGGGGAGGAGGGTGGGGAGGAGGGTGGGGAGGAGGGTGGGGAGGAGGGTGGGGAGGAGGCTGGGGAGGAGGCTGGGGAGGAGGCTGGGGAGGAGGCTGGGGTGGGGCGGAATGGGGTGGGCCAGAAAGGGGTGGGGCGGAATGGAGTGGGGCAGAAAGGGGTGGGGCGGAATGGGGTGGGGCGGGGCGGAATGGGGTGAGGCGGATTGGGGAGATGAGGGATGGGGAGATGAGGGATGAGGAGATGAGGGATGGGGAGGTGTGGGATGGGGAGGAGAGGGCTGGGGAGGAGAGGGATGGGGAGGTGAGGGATGAGGAGGTGAGGGATGGGGAGATGAGGGAAGGGGAGATGAGGAATGGGGAGATGAGGAATCGGGAGATGAGGGAAGGGGTAATGAATGAACGTGTATGCGACGGAAGGGTGCTGCTGACCACGCACCCTCCCACACCCCACGCGATGGGAAGGGATGAGAGGGTGGGCGGCATGGGTAGAGAAGCGATGGTGAATAGGGGGAACGTGATGGGCAGGGGAGTGATGACGACGTGGAGAGAGGAGGAGAGAAGGGAGGTCGGCGGGAAGGCTAAGCGAGGACGATGGGAGGGCAAGCGTGGGCGACAGTGGCGGTGGGCGACGGTGGCGGTGGGCGACGGTGGCGGTGGGCGAGGGTGGGGAGAAGCATGGGCGACGGTGGGGGGAAGCGTGGGCGACAGTGGGGGGAAGCGTGGGCGACGGTGGGGGGAAGCGTGGGCGACGGTGGGGGGAAGCGTGGGTGACGGTGGGGGGAAGCGTGGGCGACGGTGGGGGGAAGCGGGGGCGACGGTGGGGGGAAGCGTGGGCGACGGTGGAGGGAAGCGTGGGCGACGGTGGGGGGAAGCGTGGGTGACGGTGGGGGGAAGCGTGGGCGACGGTGGGGGGAAGCGTGGGCGACGGTGGGGAAAGCGTGGGTGACGGTGCTCCGAAGCGTGGGCGACGGTGGGAGGAATCGTGGGCGATGAGAGGGGAAACGTGAGGGAAGGTGGGGAAAGGCGTGAGCGACGGTGTGGGGGAAGGCCGGAGGAAGCGTGAGCGGCGATAAGGGGAAGCGTGAGCGACGGTGGGGGAAAGCTTGGGCGACGGTGGGAAGAGTGGGCGTGTGCGTGGGGAGGTGTGTGAGAGACGGTGGGGAGAAGCGTGGGGGACGCGGAAGGCGATAGGTCCAAATGCGATGTTTGGGAAAGAGCTAGGAATAAAAGTGAAAATGCTCATGGCCTATGCTGTAGTGGCGTTTTATTCTATCTCTTCGCATACTCTAATCGCTTCGCGTACTATGGAAATCACACGACCTGAATTACCGAAGAAGGCAAACTGTGCACATTTTGAGCCCTTGTTCCTTCAGGAGGGTGTGGTTGGGACTCTCGCCAACCAAACCTGTTCTGCTCTACGACTCTCTGTTTCTTGGCGCAATGTTTTCTGGTAACCAGCCTGGCTCGGGAGGTCAACTCTGGGTTCGGTAGGCAAACTGTGCACAGTTTGCCTTCCTTTTTTTGTAATTCAGGTCTTGGGCTTTAAACATTAGTGCTGGGGTTATATTGTTTGGAGGAACATTAACCCTTCGGTGATGCTGACTCCTTGGGCACGATATAGCAGCGGAAGGTTTAGTACCGTAACCCACTCCAATTTGAATACGGAACACCGCCTCGGTTCAACCTCTGGCGGCAACCCTCCTCTCCTGCTCCACCACACCTATTTTTGCTGGGAGCTCCAGCAACACGCACGTCCGCTGGCCCAGCCCAACCACCAACTTTGTTTCTCCCTCACTTTCTTCTCACCACAGTATGCGAGAGTATAGCTGTCACATTTCGTGAAAGCATCTACTAGTACTACTTCTCGTTGTCACAGTCGCAAGCCCGTAAGCTACTAGATCATCTCGAGTATCTTAGGCGCACGCCATTCGCAGAAAACGCGGAGGCAGTAGACGAGCCGTAACCGCGTTCAGAGCGGCGCGCTGCGAGGCATTATCATGGGGTTCGCAACGCGGAACCCCCAGCAGCGCAACCTGCGGCAAATGCTGCGCCAATGCCGGCAGCAGCGCTGCGAATTAGCCGCAACAGGTCCGTTTTCAGGCACCGAGCGAGAAAGACGGCGCGCTGGTCCTGTTATCGGTGATGCTTGTAACGGGGTAGCAGCAATGGCATCGTGTTATCGTGTGTCGAGTCGGACTCGTCAGACGAGTGGCGGCTTCGTCGACGGCTCGACGGAAATGTCCATCTCGGAGTTGACGAACGTGAAGGTGTCTCTATCGGAACTGTTAGTAAAGGCGAAGGCCGTGAGACTAGCGCGGCGGCACACGGTTGACAGATCGCCGCTGCACGAACGGTCGGAGCCCCTCCGAAAGCAGGAGCAGCGGCAGCCGCGGCAATTAGAAAAAGAACCGCGTCGGCGGCGGACGAAGCAGAAGCATGTTGAGCGGAGCCAGCAGCAGCTGCAGCAGGAAAACGAGTATCGTCTGGCAGACGCAGTCCATCGCTGCGCAAGTAACGGAGAATCGACGCAATGGGCCGCGGACGCCGCCTGCGATACGACGGAAACCCTAGAGAAGAGTGCGCGCAGCAATAACGAAATATCTCTCAAGATTGCGAGTCAAAAACTTCAAGAAAGCACCGCCGCGGCACTCACGTCGTCTCTCCAGGCAGATTTTATTTCCCACGCGCTCGCCCTTCTCTCCCACCACGCCTCCACCTCCGCCGACCATCTCCGCCGCGCAGGCCAGGCGTGCCGCGAATGGCGCCGCGCTTACCGCCACGCCGTGCAGCATCTCTCCCTCGCTTTCGACCCGCTCCAGCTCCGCTGGAGGCCCGTGCTTCGCGGCGCCGAACGCGCTGGCGAATCGGGCCGCGCCACGAGGAGCAGCATCAGCACGGGCTTGTGCAGCAGTAGCAGCAGTAGCTGCTGCTGCGAACGCGGCGGCGACCGGTGGGACCCGTCATCGCCCGCGCTATGTATTCTCAATGACCCGTCTGCGTGGCATCTTGGAACGGCGGACGAGTCGGACTCAGCAGCGGAGTCCATGCCGACTCTGCCAACTCTGCCGACTCTGCCGTTGAGCAGCTCACTGCCATTGTGTGACGACGACTCTGCAGCGCCTCATCCTGCTGCTGCCGCGGCTGCTCCGCCTGCTCCTCCTCTTTGCGCCCCCAGCAGCAGGCGGCTCGCGCGGCGGGTGCTGCAGCTGGAGCGGGACGAGGGGCACGAGTGCCACCCCACGAGAGAGGAGCTGCGCGTGGGATACCATTGCATGGCCGAGCACGACCAGTGGCTGCATGGGTTGAATCATCATGTGAACGGAAACCGTTCGTGCAGTGACTGCTGGCATGCTGACATGCCGTCTGTGCTCCAGGTGGCCGATTTGGTGCTGCAGTTCCCGAATCTCGCCTCCGTGTGCGTGCCCCTGCGTGATGACGTGGATTTGAGCCCGGGTGACGTCAGGATGGTGCTGGGTGTGGTGGCAGGGCTGGGAGCCCTGAGGAGCTGCCACGTGCAGGCTGACGTGGCGGGCTGGGTGGAGCGGGGAGAGGGAGGTGCGTGGCGGGATGAGGAGGCGGGGGAGGAAGAGGAGAAAGAGATAGTAGCACGAGAGGAAGAGAGGCGTTGTGCTGTTGAGGAAGGTATGGTTGTGAAGGTGGCAGCTAGGGAGATGGTGGCACAGAGGGGGAGGGAGATCAGGCGGGAAAGGAAGGAAGCGAGGAAAGAACAGGAGCGGCAGCAGAGCCGGAAGGAAATGAGTAGCGCTATTGAAGCAGGGCTGCTGGGTGTGGTCTCAAGGTGCAAGAGGCTGCATTCGCTGCATCTTCAAGGCGACGGCTTGACCTCGTTCCTAAACCTCTCCCCCTGGTTCTTCGACCATTGCCACCGCATCCAATCCCTCTCCCTCCCTCTCTCGTACCTCCCTCACTCCCTCCCCACCCTCCCCCGCCTTATCTCTCTCAATCTCGCCCTCGGTTCTGGTAACAGCAGTAACGGTGGTAACCGCAACTGCCTGCCAGCTGTCCTCCAGTCAGGATCACCCTTCAGTGCTCTCACATCTCTAAAAGAGCTCCGGATAAGGCTCAGGGTTGCTGAGAGGGGTTGTCGCCTGCCCCCCGATCTGTTTCTCGGGCTTGAGTCTCAACTCCAGAAGCTGACTCTGCTGCACACTCCCTGTGGCAAAGGCAATGGTGATGGTGACAATGGGGAGCGTGGGGATGGTGATAGTAAGGAAGTCACACTGGTAATGCCCGGTTCTGCCTGGCGCCTGACGAAGCTGCAGGAGCTGGAGACGTCGTTCCGAGTGCCGTTTGACGACGACCACAAGGAGTTTGAGGAGGGGTTTGGTGTGTGGAGCCAGTACCTGGGACGCACAGAGGAGGTTCTGCAGGACGGAGAGGAGCAAGGAGGACCTATAGATACACCAGCTGCAGCAGCAGCAGTGGTAGAAGGCGCATCAGCAGCAGCAGGAGGGGCGATTCGAGGCCTGGCGTCATTGCCTCTCCTCTCCTCTCTCACCCTCCACTCCTCCCTCGGCCTGCCCCCATCGATCCGCCACCTCCGCCACCTCACCCGCCTCCTCGCCCCCAAAGCCCTCTCCGACGCCTCAGGAGCCCTCCCCTCCCTCCCCAACCTGCAAGTCCTCTGCATGATGGCGGATAAAGCTACAGCCGGAGCGCCGTTACCAGCCTCCCTGCGCCGGCTACAGTTGCGCTACAACCAATGCAGCCTGCTGCATGCAGTGGGGCGGGCAGCGGGTTCAGTGGAGCACCTGGAAGTGACTGCAGTGGGGGCAGGGGGGCAGGACTCGTGTGTGTACGGCGACTTGGTCCCCACGCTTTCCCCCCACCGCTGGGACCCAGCGTGGAGGGGTGAGGGAGACCGATTCTCGTTCCCGAACCTCCGAGAGATGATTGTCACCAAGTGCTGGGGGGGGGCTATGGAGGTAGACATGGGGCCTCTCCCGAGCCTCACGCACCTGTCGGTGTTTTGGTCGGTGCGGCTGCATGGGATCACCCAGGGCTGGTACTCTAATCTCCGCTTCTTGCACTTGTATCAGCCGCTCCCGGATTGCCACTGGGAAGGGAGGCCCGAGGGGGAGCTAGGCTCGCGGAATCTGTTCTCCCGCCTGCCGAAGCTGCACACGCTAGTGGTTGATAACTGCTGCCAGCTGGGCGGCAGGGAGATGCTCGCATGCCTGTCAGCGCTGACTCAGCTACACACGCTCCGCCTTTCCGTAATCCGGAATGCGATGTGGACACTAACTTCGTGCAATGAGGTACCTTGGTGGGCGTGGGGGCATGGGTATGAGGAATACTATCGGAACACTCAAGTAAGCCACTTAAAGCCAGAGATTGCCTGCCCGGCGTCCCTCTGTGTGCTGCAAATCGCCAAGTGCGACCTGCCCTTCCTCCCTCACTCCCTCGCCTCTGCCACCGCGTTGACTGAGTTGACTCTGCACCACTGGACTGACCTCCAAACGCTGCCGTCCTTCCTCTCGTCCTTTACGGAACTGAGCCGGCTCCGGGTGACTGGGTGTGGGGAGAATAAGCCGAGTGCGCCGCCCGGCTTGCTTCCCCTGTTGAAGGACAGGAACTGGTTCCATGCTGTGGACTGTGATGGCTGTAGGGATCTGCACAAGCGTCTGCCAAACCATGAATGAGGCGCCCGGCTTGCTTCCCCTGTTGAAGGACAGAAACTGGTTCCATGCTGTGGACTGTGATGGCTGTAGGGATCTGCACAAGCGTCTGCCAAACCATGAATGAGGCGCCCGGCTTGCTTCCCCTGTTGAAGGACAGAAACTGGTTCCATGCTGTGGACTGTGATGGCTGTAGGGATCTGCACAAGCGTCTGCCAAACCATGAATGAGGCGCCTGGCTTGCTTCCCCAGTTGAAGGACAGAAACTGGTTCCATGCTGTGGACTGTGATGGCTGTAGGGATCTGCACAAGCATCTGCCAAACCATGAATGAGGCGCCCAGCTTGCTTCCCCTGTTGAAGGACAGGAACTGGTTCCATGCTGTGGACTGTGATGGCTGTAGGGATCTGCACAAGCGTCTGCCAAACCATGAATGAGGCGCCCGGCTTGCTTCCCCTGTTGAAGGACAGGAACTGGTTCCATGCTGTGGACTGTGATGGCTGTAGGGATCTGCACAAGCATCTGCCAAACCATGAATGAGGCGCCCGGCTTGCTTCCCCTGTTGAAGGACAGAAACTGGTTCCATGCTGTGGACTGTGATGGCTGTAGGGATCTGCACAAGCGTCTGCCAAACCATGAATGAGGCGCCCAGCTTGCTTCCCCTGTTGAAGGACAGGAACTGGTTCCATGCTGTGGACTGTGATGGCTGTAGGGATCTGCACAAGCGTCTGCCAAACCATGAATGAGGCGCCCAGCTTGCTTCCCCTGTTGAAGGACAGGAACTGGTTCCATGCTGTGGACTGTGATGGCTGTAGGGATGTGCACAAGCGTCTGCCAAACCATGAATGAGGCGCCCGGCTTGCTTCCCCTGTTGAAGGACAGGAACTGGTTCCATGCTGTGGACTGTGATGGCTGTAGGGATCTGCACAAGCGTCTGCCAAACCATGAATGAGGCGCCCAGCTTGCTTCCCCTGTTGAAGGACAGGAACTGGTTCCATGCTGTGGACTGTGATGGCTGTAGGGATGTGCACAAGCGTCTGCCAAACCATGAATGAGGCGCCCGGCTTGCTTCCCCTGTTGAAGGACAGAAACTGGTTCCATGCTGTGGACTGTGATGGCTGTAGGGATCTGCACAAGCGTCTGCCAAACCATGAATGAGGCGCCCAGCTTGCTTCCCCTGTTGAAGGGCAGAAACTGGTTCCATGCTGTGGATTGTGATGGCTGTAGGGATCTGCACAAGCGTCTGCCAAACCATGAATGAGGCGCCCAGCTTGCTTCCCCTGTTGAAGGGCAGAAACTGGTTCCATGCTGTGGATTGTGATGGCTGTAGGGATCTGCACAAGCGTCTGCCAAACCATGAATGAGGCGCCCAGCTTGCTTCCCTTGTTGAAGGACAGGAACTGGTTCCATGCTGTGGACTGTGATGGCTGTAGGGATCTGCACAAGCGTCTGCCAAACCATGAATGAGGCGCCCAGCTTGCTTCCCCTGTTGAAGGGTAGAAACTGGTTCCATGCTGTGGACTGTGACGCCTGTAGGGATCTGCACAAGTACCGTATGAGCCATACCGTGAATGCCGAATCTGCGGTTCTTCAGGCAACGTGGCGTGTGTTGGAGACCTGCCGCTGTGGCATTTGAGTCGACTCAAAAGCACACCCCCCCCCCCTCTATCTGTAGGCTCTCTCTGTATCCTGGAGGGCGAATTCCACCAACCATACCATTACCGGCACGACCGTAAGATTTATAATCGTATCATGGCAGCAGAATACACTGACACGGGAACGGGGGCTCCATTGCGAGATGGCATTGGCACTCCACTGTACCAGCATACCTTACCTGGCCTGGGGATGCTGCCGAGATTGAGCTTTTGAGTCGACTCACAAGTCAACTGTTGTGTGTGAGGGCACAAGAGCGATGCTGCTGGAATGCCGAGACCGTACGTAACAAGCTCATATCAGAGAGGCACGTATTGATGCCATGGCCCATGACCCATGACATGATCCATGTCTATTCCGTAAAGCCTTTTCTAAAGAGGATACCATAATACATGACACAATATTGTAAATACTACCGGTAGCAGTTGATTTTACACCCTAGGGTTATGTATCTTCTATCCGGTTGCTTATGCTAGGGAGTGGCTAGATGCCCTGTAGCAGAAACTGCTTGGCCTCAGCAAACTCAAAATGAAGCTCTAACTCTACCAAGCTGAGAACCCTGAGGAGATGATACCTGGTGAACTGAACCTCCCAAAGAATGCAGGAACCTGATAATCATCTCAGAGAAGGAATGGCTTGGCTGGAGGGAAGGCTTGGGCGAAGTCGGAGGAGAGCGATGGCTTGAGTGCCACGACCTGGCGACCCAGCGCAGCCCGTTGAGTTGATGCCGGAAAAGTCTCAAAGAAGGAATGGCTTGGCTGGAGGGAAGGCCTCGGCAAAGTTAGAGGAGAGCGAGGGCTTGAGTGCCACGACCTGGCGACCCAGCGCCGCCCAGTGCTGCTGCAGACACGCCCTTATGCCCGCCTGCTCGTCCTGTAGCCCTGTGAGGCCTGGTGGGGGAGGGAGGGTGGTTGAAGGGGAGAGTGATGGGGTGAAAGTAAGCACGTGCAAAGCAAGGGAGGACCAGTGCTGCTGCAGACACGCCCTGATGCCCGCCTGCTCGTCCTGCAGGCCTGTGAGGCCTGGTGGGGGGGAATGGAGAGTGATGGGGTGAAATGACGCACGTGCTTAAGTGAGAGCAGCCCAGTGCTGCTGCAGACACGCCCTGATGCCCGCCTGCTCATCCTGTACCCTGTGAGGCCTGGCATGGGAGTGAGGGAGGGTGAAGTGCCGAGTGATGAGCTCAAAGGGTAACGCGGTAGCAGCGAAAGAGTGCTCACAAGCGAGAGCAGCAACGTGCTACTGCACGCACGTCGTCACTTCTGCCAGCTGCATTGTAGCCAGCTGTGTGAGCTTGGTGAGGGCATGACGTGGAGGGTTGTGGGATACATCACGCTGAGGTGCGCAGGTACCCTTTCCCTTGGAAGGTGCTCAGGTGCGGACGTTGACTGCTTCCATCAACATCACGCTTTCCTAGCTCCTACCTCGATTGCGTACTCATTCTACATGTCAACTCCTCCTGTCATCTCCATCAGCTACTTCCATTTGCTTCCATCTGCATCTATCTGCATCTATCTGCATCTATCTGCATCTATCTGCATCTATCTGCATCCATCTGCATCTATCTGCATCTATCTGCATCTATCTGCATCTATCTGCATCCACTTGCATCCATCTGCATCCATCTCAACCTTTCTCACCTAGCTCCTACCTCGATTGCGTACTCATTCTACATGTCAACTCCTCCTGTCATCTCCATCAGCTACTTCCATTTGCTTCCATCTGCATCTATCTGCATCTATCTGCATCTATCTGCATCTATCTGCATCTATCTGCATCCATCTGCATCTATCTGCATCTATATGCATTTATCTGCATCTATCTGCATCTATCTGCATCTATCTGCATCCACTTGCATCCATCTGCATCCATCTCAACCTTTCTCACCTAGCTCCAGCTCGACGCCGTACTCATCCTCCACGTCAGCCTCGTCTTCCTCCAGCGAGCCAATCATCTTCGCCGCCTCCGCGTATCGCCTCATCAGCGCCGCCTCCAGCTCAGCATCGTCGAGATTCTCGTCCAACGCGGGCTGGATGGGATCACGCAGGGAAATAAGGGATAGGGGAGAAGAGAGGGCGCGCACACGTTATGGTGACGGAGGGGCACCTGTGCCTCGGCGTATATCGCCTCTCATCACCACGGCCTCCAGCGCAGCGTCGTCCAGACTCTCGTCCAACGCGGGCTGGATGGAGGGTGTCGGGGGGACAGGGGAGAAGAAAAGGCGCTGTGTGAGGGGCACTCGACTTTGCGACCTCATCAGCGCCGCATACAGCTCAGCATCGTCGAGATTCTCGTCCAACGCGGGCTGGATGGCGCCAGAGGAGGGGATATGAGAGGAGAAACGAAGCGTGCAGAGAAAAAGGGAGATGGCTGTTGAGGCGAATAAAAGAGACCTTTATTTGAAGGGGATAGGGAAGGAGTAGATGAAAGAAATCGACCAGGAGATTGGATCCAGACAAAGAGTTTGTGAGATGCGACGAGGGAAGACGAAGAGCACGCACGATGAAGAAATAAGTTTCAACTCTCGCAGGTGGTTTTTGAAATTTCTCAAAACCCACTTGAGAATTCTAAAAAACTACCTGGACCTTCTCTTCTGCCTCTTCCAGAGTATTAGAACAATTTAAACCGCGGCAAGTTCTTGTTTCCCCTCCACCTCTCCTTCTCTCCTCCTCTTCCTCACCCTCCTCATTCCCTTCCATGCTGCTCCCCTCCTCCTTCACCTCCTTCAGCCGCACCATCGCTGCCATCACTGCTGCCAGCACGGCAGCTGGCACGACTGCAAAGCACACAGCACACATGACACCACTGCACCACTGCCCTTGCAAAATCGCTGCCATTGCTGCTACAGCTACTGCCAGCACTGCTGTTGGCAGGACTGCAAAGCACTCAGCACTCAGCTCACATGACACAACTGCACCACTGCCTTCGATCTTACCTCCTCATCGTCCTCATCCTCCTCTTCCTCGTCCTCCTCGTCCTCCTCCCCCTCCTCGCTCCCTTCCATGCTGCTTGTCTCCTCCTTCACCTCCTTCAGCCGCACCATTGCTGCCATTGCTGCTGCCAGCACTGCTGCTGGCAGGTCTGACCCTGTCACTGCTGCTGCTGCTGCTGACTGTTGCACCAAGCACGTGAGCGCGAGCACTGTGAGAGGCAATGGGGGTCGTGGGGAGAATGAGGGTAGGGGGAGCGGAGAGAGGGGAAAGTAGGAGGAGTGTTGATGAAAATGGGGGAGAGTTAAGCTCGCCTCCTCCTTCACCTCTTTCAGTCGCACCATCGCTGCTGCCAGCACTGCAGCTGGCAGGTCTGACCCTGTCACTGCTGCTGCTGACTGCTGCACCAGGCACGTGAAGGCGAGCACTGCCACAGGGGGATAAAGGCAGAGGAGGGAAGGGAGAATTTGGAGGGAGAATTTCTAACTTGCTTCACCTCTTTCAGTCGCACCATCGCTGCTGCCAGCATGGCGGGTGGCAGGTCTGACCCTGTCACTGCTGCTGCTGCTGCTGCTGCTGCTGACTGCTGCACGAGGCACGTGAGGGCGAGAACTGCCGTTGAAAGTGGGGAAGGGGAGGGGAGAGGGTTGGAGGAGGACAGGAGAAGGCACGGGAGTGTCTCAGCTCCCCTCCTCCTTCATCTCCTTCAGCCGCACCATTGCTTCCATTGCTGCTGCCAGCACTGCGGCTGGTCCTTGTCTCTGCTGCTGTTGCTGCTGCTGCTGACTGCTGCACCAGGTACTTCAGAGCGAGAAGTGCGACGAGCAAGGGCAGCAAGGCAGTGCAGGGCAAAGGGGGTTTTGAGACATCTCAAGACTGCTGCACCAGGCACGTCAGGGCGAGAACTGTGAGGGGCGAAGGGGACATTAGATGGCAAAGGGGGAGCGGTAAGGTTGGAGGGGAGCGTTTTCAGTCGACTTACAAGTATACTCTAGTCCTGTGGCTTTCTACAGCCTCAGATCCCGGGAATTTGCCTCATACCAGTATGACCTGCTTTCCGGAACCACCCACCCACACACCCACTTGCACACCCACCCACCCACCCACCCACGCAGCCACTCACCGTCCCAGCTACCCACTCACCCACCCACTCACCCACACACCCACTCACCCTCCCACCCACCTACTCACCCACCCATCTACTCAACCACCCACCTAGCCACCCACTCAAGCGGCCAGCCCACCCACTTGTGAGCTTGAGCTCTGACTCGAGAACCAGCCCTGGCTCCGCATGCAGCGCCAGCAAGCTGACTTTTGAGTCGACTCAAGAGTCAACCCGCCCAGCCCATCCGTCCGCCCACCAACCTGTGAGCTTGAGCTCTGACTCACCAACCAGCCCTGGCTCCGCATGCAGCCACCCACCATCCACTCATCTACTCACCCACCCAACCAACTGTCACAACTTAGGCTTAGAACTGATGCATTGGTAATGAGCTTGAAGCTCTTTAAGTACATCCAAGAAGGGTAGGGAATGGATGGGGAAAGGAATCGGGGGTAATCCCTAGGGATTGGGGGTAATCCCAAGGCAATCTCCAATTGGTGGGTTGGAGATTGCTTGGAGATTACATTTGGGTTTGGTTGGGATGTAGGTGTACACCCAACCAAACACAAAGTGCAAACTACACTACTCTAGGATATAGAAAATATAAAGTACAAAGTGTGAGATTGAGGGCTAACACTAACACCAACCAGCCCAGCCCATCCCACCCACCCACCTGTGAGCTTCAGCTCTGACTCGAGAACCAACCCTGGTTCCGCATGCAGCGCCAGCAAGCTCTCTACACCGCGCACAACCACTCCCAACCTCAACCCTCCTTCCTTCTCTCCTTCTCCTTCCCCTTCCTCTTGCCCGGCCTCCCCCTTCCCCTTTTCGCCAGCAGGTGCGGGGGAGAGGAGGAGGGGGAAGACGGAGGAGGGGGAGGCGAGGAGGGAGGAGAAGAGGGCGAGGAGAAGAGGCTTGGTGATGTAACGGATGGAGGAGAGAGAGGGCGCGGTGGAGAGGCGAGTGAGAGAGGCCTGGAAGGGGGTTGAGTAAGGGGGAAAATGAGGGGGAGTTTTGTAAATTGCACAACATGTGGACGTGGGGCAGGGGCAAGAGGGGGAGGAGCAGAGGCTTGGTGATGTAAGGAATGGAGGAGAGGGAGGGCGTGGAGGCGAGGCGAGTGAGAGAGGCCTGAGGGAGGGGGTTGGGAAAGGGTGAAAGGGGGAAAGGCGGAACAAATGGTTAGTTGAGAGACACGTGGACAGGGGCAAGAGGGAGAGGAGGGAGGAGAAGAGGGCGAGGAGCAGAGGCTTGGTGATGTAGCGGATGGAGGAGAGGGAGGGGGCGGTGGAGAGGCGAGTGAGAGAGGCCTGAGAGAAGGGGGTGAGAATGGGGGAAAAAGGGGGGAAAGGTGGAACAAATGGTTGCTTGCGAAACATGTGGACACCACACCCACCCACTCAGAGACACCACAGCCCCCCTCCCCCCCACCACACCCACCCACTCAGAGACACCACAGCCCCCCTCCCCCCCACCACACCCACCCACTCAGAGACACCACAGCCCCCCTCCCCCCCACCACACCCACCCACTCAGAGACACCACAGCCCCCCTCCCCCCCACCACACCCACCCACTCAGAGCAGGCAGCCACAGCGCCCCCCTACCCTCTCCCATCCTCTCGGAGCAACCAAAGCATGTCCCTACTCAACCCCCCCCGCCGCCCTCCTCCCCCATTCCCTGTCCCTTCCTCAATGCCTCACCTCGGCAAACCGTCCAGCCAGGGCAGCAGCAGCAGCAGGGGCCCCATGGAGTGGCACAGCAGCAATGTTCAGCAGCGCGTTCTACCACATCTCTTCCACGCCCACTTCCCCACCCCTTCCTTTGCCTCACCTCGGCAAACCCCCCAGCCAGAGCAGCAGCAGCAGCAGCAGCAAGCCCTCTGTTGAGAGCCACAGCAGCAGCGTTCAGCAGCGCGTTTCGAGACATTTCGACTTCCTTTCCTCCTCCCATCCCCCCCTCCTTCCCCCTCAGCCCCCCACTCTTTCCCGTTGCCTCACCTCGGCAAACCGCGCAGCCAGAGCAGCGGCAGCAGCCCCCCCACCCTTTGAGCGTCATGGCAGCAGCGTTCAGCAGCGTGTGTTGACATGACACACCTCAGAATCCCACTTTCCCACCCCTTCCATTTCCCGTTGCCTCACCTCGGCAAACCGAGCAGCCAGAGCAGCGGCAGCAGGCCCTCCGTTGAGCGCCACAGCAGCAGCGTTTAGGAGCGTGTGCGAGTGCCTGGATGCTCGCCACGTGGCAGCAGGAGAGCCGTCAGATAGCGCGGATGAGACGAAGCACGCGACGCCTTCGAGGATGGAGCGTGCCGGCACGGGCGGCAGGGGAGGCGGTGGAGTGGTTCTGGATATGAAATCCGGTACTGGCGTCCTCCCCTGGAAGGCAATTGGGTTGGGAGTGTGAGGGAAATCCATTCAAGTGTGGCGTCCTCCCCTGGACGGCATCGACAGGAGGTGAGGGGGCTCCGTGGCAGGGGAGGCAGCGGAAAGGCAATGGATGTGAAATCCGGTACTGGCGTGGAAGTTTGAGTGGGCTCAAAACTCGTCCCATGTCGTAGAGAATTGGGTCTGTGTACCCAGGATAGGGACGGCGAAAAGAAGGAGACAGCATGTGCAGGTGAGGGGGCAGGGTACGCAGGGTGAGGGGATAGCAGAGAATAGCAGCTTCCTCCCATGCCGAGTTGACTTTTGAGTCGACTCAAAAGTCATTTTGAGTCGACTCAAAATAGCATCTTCCTCCCATGCCCTCCACTCTGCTATCAGCTCCACCCACTTGTGCAGCAACGCCACCACCCCCCACTGCGTCACCAGCTCTCAACACACTCACCTCCCATGCACTCACTCACCTGCAGCAGCAGCAGCACCACCTACAGAAGTGCTCACCTGCAGCAGCAACAAGGAGTCGATGGTCTGAAACACCGCCTCGTCCTCATCCTCCTCCCATGCCGTCCACTCCGCCACCAGCTCCACCCACTTGTGCAGCAACGGCACCACCCCCCACTGCGCCACCAGCGCTGCTGCATCCCCGCCTGTAGCAGCAGCGGTGGAGGAAGGTGAAGCTGGGGCGTTGGCAGCGGCTTTGAGGACGAAGGAGAGCAGCAGAGAGGCATCGAACCATGACGTGGGGGGCGGCTCCTTGTCCTCCTCGCCTTCTAGAGTGGCTGCTGCCTGTGGCTTCACGAGAGATGGGTCCACCTGAAGAGGTGGGGGGGGGGGGGGGAGGGGGGTGAGTGAAGAGAGGGGGGGCGGAGGGCATAGGGACCAGGGAGGCTGTAAGGACGAAGGGGAGCAGAAGAGGGGCGTCGAACCACAAGGTGGGGGGCGGCTCCTTGTCCTCCTCGCCCTCTAGGCCGGCTGCTGGCTGTGGCTTCACGAGGGACGGATCCACCTGACGAAGAAAGGCGGGTGGGGGTGGAGGGAGGGTGAGAGGGGGATCGTAGAGTACAGGGACCAGGGAGGCTTTGAGGACGAAGGAGAGCAGCAGAGAGGCGTCGATCCACGAGGTGGGGGGCGGCTCCTTGTCGTCCTTCTCGCCCTCCTGAATTGACACTTGTGGCTTCACTATGGATGGATCCACCTGACAAGAGGTGGGGGAGAGAAGGGCGGGGAAAGGAATTGGTGGTGGGGGGGGAAGTGGGGGTGGGGGGGCGGAGAGCACAGGGATTCGGGGGGGTTTGGAGGACGAAGGAGAGCAGCAAAGGGGGGTCGATTTTTGAGTCGACTAAGAAGAGAAGGAAAGGGACGCCGTTTCCTTGGGGCACTCAAGCCACAGGGGGGTCGGCTCCTTGTCCTCCTGGCGCCACTTGGGGCACTCAAAGCCACAGATGCGCTTGACTAAGAAGTTCGAGTTGACTCAGAAAGAATTCACGGGTTCATTCAGCCAGGCAGGCAGGCAGGCCACTCGCAGCACACACGCGGGCCACACACCTACCACCTCCTAAGAGAAAGAAAGAACAGGGAAGCAAAGGGTGGTGCTCTGGGCTGCGTTGACTTTTGAGTCGACTCAAAAAGCGAAGGGTGGTGCTCTGGGCTGCGTTGACTTTTGAGTCGACTCAAAAGTCAACAGGGAAGCGAAGGGTGGTGCTCTGGGCTGCGTTGCAAGAGGGCAAGAGGGCGAGTTAATAACTCACAGGTTCGTTCAGCCAGGCCACTCGCAGCACGCGAGCCACAGACGCAGCCACCTCCACTGCCCGGCGACTCCTCTCCTCCGCCCCTGCTGCCTCCTTCCCATCCCTCTCCTCCCCTTCCTCCTCCTCGTCATCGTCCCCTGGCAGGTCATCATCAGCCCATGACTCGACCAGCGAGGCGAGTGCTGAGAAGAGCGCCCACACACGCTGGGAGAGGGTGGGGTGGAAAGGAGGAAAGGGAAGGTGGATAGAATGAACGAGCACTCTTTCTCTGGCGGGTCATCGTCGGCCCATGACTCGACGAGAGAGGCGAGCGCAGAGAAGAGCGCCCACACACGCTGTTGGGGAGAGAGGGTGGGGAAAGGAGGGCGGATCAGTCAACAACAGACATCCGTTTCCCCCCTGGCCTGGCAGGTCATCGTCGGCCCATGACTCGCAAGAGAGGCAAGCGCAGAGAAGAGCGCCCACACACGCTGGCATGAGGAGGGGGACGAGGAATGGAGGAGCGGAAAGGGAGGGGGGAACAGTCAAAGGACAGCTGTTCCCCCCTGGCAGCTCGTCATTGGCCCATAACTTGATCAGAGGGGCGAGCGCAGAGAAGAGCGCCCAGCCCACACACGGTGCCATGAGAAGGGAGGGCGGGTAAAGAAGGAAGGAGCAATGACAAGCACAACCCCCCTGGCAGCTCGTCATCAGCCCACGACTCGACCAGAGGGGCGAGCGCAGAGAAGAGCGCCCAGCCCACACACGGTGCCATGAGGGGAAATTGCTCCGAAGACATCTCAAAACAAGAACCTTTGAAGTGCACCTGTAATCTTTCCCTTGTGAACCGGTATTGGGTTCACCCAATGCTACAGCATGCAGGTGTGAAAATCCTAACAGCTGCTGCCTCCATACCTATGCCTGGCTGGCCCCACACACATTCCACCAACAGAACCCCCACCTGCGACCAGGGCTGGTCTGGGGGAGGAAGAGCTGCGCAGGCGTCAGCTGCAACAGCAGCGATGATTGTGGGGAGGTGGGCGTGCACGCCGTCTCCGCCCTCACTGTGCCTCTCTCCTCCCCCACTGTGCCTCTCTCCTCCCCCACTGTGCCTCTCTCCTTCCCCACTGTGCCTCTCTCCGCCCTCACTGTGCCTCTCTCCTCCCCCACTGTGCCTCTCTCCTCCCCCACTGTGCCTCTCTCCTCCCCCACTGCGCCTCTCTCCTCCCTCACTGTGCCTCTCTCCTCCCCCACTGTGCCTCTCTCCTCCCTCACTGTGCCTCTCTCCTCCCCCGCCCTTGTGTTGGATGATCTTATGTTCATACAGCACTAATACAGCGGGAGGGCGGGGTTTTCATACAGCGAGAACCCGCTCAGCTACTAATATTGGACTCACCCACCCAATGTACGCGGGATGCGGGTATTCATACGTGTGCAAGCAGCACAGCCCATACCTGCGACCAGGGCTGATCCGGGGGAGGCAGAGCTGCACAGGTGTCATCTGCAACAGCGGATATGATGGCGGGCAGGTGGGCGTGCACGCCCTCGCAGCCTTCCACTGCCACTGACTCCAGCAGGTCTAGCGCCCTCACTGATACTGGGTTTTCCCACTCTACACCTAGTGCTGGAACATGCAGTGCAACAGAAGGCATACCTGCGACCAGGGCTGATCCGGGGGAGGCAGAGCTGCGCAGGTGTCATTTGCAACAGCAGCAATGATGGCGGGCAGGTGGGCGTGCACCCCCTCGCCCCCTTCCACTGCCACTGACTCCAGCAGGTCTAGCGCCCTCACCGCCTCCCTCTCCTCCCCCGCTCTTGTTGCTGCCACCACTGCTTGCAGGAACGCCAGCCAATCAGATGGCTCCACTTCATTCTGGATAGGGAGTGGGTGGAGGAATGGAAAAGGGATGCGAGATGTGGTTTGATGTGATGTGATACATGTTACCATGGATGTACAGAGGTCATTTGACGCTGTTTTTTAGTCGGCTCATTCGATGCGCCTCAAAAGGTTTGGTAAGCACAAGTAGAGAGAAGATCAAACTTGCATCCACTGTACCACGTGCATCCACTATACCACGTGCATCCAGTGCACCACGTGCATCCACTGTACCACGTGCATCCACTGTACCACGTGCATCCACTGTACCACGTGCATCCACTGTACCACGTGCATCCAGTGCAACAAGAGCACACCTGGATGAGGTAGGAGATGCAGTGCGCACAGCCGCCCATGTGTGCGGCCGCATGTGCCACGTGCAGTGAACAAAGAGCACTAAGAGCACCAAGACCACACCTGGATGAGGTAAGAGATGCAGTGCGACGCAGCAGTGCGCACAGCCGCCCATGACTGCCCATCCACGTCCCCTGCTGCCATGGCCTTCATGCTCGCCTCGTACACAGGGTTGTGCAGGGACTGATGGGGCGACAGATTGGGGGAGAAATAGGGTTGGAGGTGGAATTGGAAGGCGAAAAGTGTGTGAGCTCACGCACCCACGTCCACGTCCCCTGTTGCCATGGCCTTCATGCTCGCCTCGTACACAGGGTTGTGCAGGGACTGATGGGGCGACAGATTGGGGGAGAAATAGGGTTGGAGGTGGAATTGGAAGGCGAAAAGTGTGTGAGCTCACGCACCCACGTCCACGTCCCCTGCTGCCATGGCCTTCATGCTCGCCTCGTACACATTGTTGTGTAGGGACTGGTGGGGCGGATGAAAGCGGGAGTGGGAGGAGAAGACGAAGGAGTGGGGATAAGGAGGAGATAAGGAGTGAAATGTGGACAGAGTCGGAGAAACGAAGTGGGTTGGGCGAATCTGAAGGTGAATGCTGTGGATGCTGTGGATGCTGTGGATGCTTCACCAAACTACATTTTGGAGGAGGCCAGTTTTTGAGTCGAATAAAAAATCGCCTCATCACACGGAGGCGGCCAGCTGTATAGTAGTTGCAGGGAACAGCTCCATCACACATGACTTTTGAGTCGACTCAGAATCTGACTTTTTTACTTTTGAGTCGACTCAGAAATTGACTTTTTGACTTTTGAGTCGACTCAGAATCTGACTTTTTGTCTTTTGAGTCGACTCAGAATTTGACTTCTTGAGTTTTGAGTCGACTCAAAAGTCAGCTCCATCACACATGAAATGGTTGCACACGAATCTGCCAGCAGCAAGCACCTTTTTTTTTTTAGGCGCCTCAAAAGACGATGTTTGAGGCACCTAAAGAAAAGACGACTTTTGGGGCGCCTATAATTTTTTGCACAACAAAATGGCCCAACCAACAGCTCCATTACACAGGAAAAGGCTGTCAGCATGATGGCTGGCTAGACTGCTTTGCTTTCTGAGGCGCCTCACATGTCCTATTAATCAGCTGGTTGATCAACAGCGCCATTCACAGTGGCCTCACATAAGAAGCAGACTGGAGGCAATGGTGAGCTAGTCTACGTCTATCACTGCACACAGTGCACAGCACACAGTGCACAGTGAAAAGTGTTCGAGTTGCCTTTGAGAGATTTTCAAAAGTGCACACTGCACAGCTGTCAGTTGCTGGTCACCTCGGGCAGGGCGGTGGAGAGCTCTCCCAGCAGCCACGTGGCAGAGGCCAACAGGACCGCGCTGACGTGGCGCTGCGAGAAGAGGGGCAGCACGTGAGCTGGCAGCAGCTGCTCCAGGTGGGCTGGCTGGCGCTCAAAGTACTGGGGGGGTGTAAAAGGGAAGGGGGAGTGGGGGGAGAGGGAGGGTGTGGGTGGGCAGATAGGAAGCAGAGGAAGGACGCAGAGGGGTAGGCAGCAGCTGTTCCAGGTGGGCCGGCTGGCGCTCTAAGTATTGTGGGGGTGGAAGGGCGGGAACAGCAGAGCAAGATAGGATGCAGAGCAAGAGGAGGAAGGGGAGGGGAAGGGGGCGAAGTGGAGATACGTGAGGGTGAGAGGGAGCAGGTTTTTCTTTGTTGAAGAAAGCATCACTGTCACTGCCAGGCTGCCAGTTTGTGGCGATCCTAATGAACTAAGCTGGCAGCGCTTCTTCCACTCCAAGTGACTTTTGAGTCGACTCAAAAGTCACCTTGTGGCGATCCTCAAGAACTAAGCTGGCAGCGCTTCTTCCACTCCAAGTGCGCCGAAGGCCGTTGGGGTCGGATTAGTTTGTGAGCAATTCGCAGAGGGACAAGAGGGGTTCAGGATGAGGGCATTCGAGGGGATTGAGGGTACTGTGCTGATGGTGATTGTGAGTGTGAGTGAATGGAATGATAGGAAGCCAGCTTATATGCGAAGGAACGCACTCTCTCCTACCCATGTATGTGCATGTGTACCATGGAACCCATCTTTCATGGAACCCATTTTTCATGGAACCCATTTTTCATGGAACCCATCTTTCATGAAACCCATCTTTCATGGAACCCATCTTTCATGGAACCCATCTTTCATGAAACCCATCTTTCATGGAACCCATCTTTCATGGAACCCATCTTTCATGGAACCCATCTTTCGTGAATGGTCGCATAGTCTATCTTTGGGCTGCCTACCTTTGGGCTGCCTAAAACATGGAACCCATCTTTTAGGTCGACTCTTGACATGGAACCCATCTTTTACGACGAACGCAATTGCTAGCTACCCCGTAAGCTTGTACCCACGTGTGTGTGTGTGTGTGTGTGTGTGTGTGTGTGTGTTTGTGTGTGTGTGTGTGTGTGTGGTTGTGTGTGTGTGTGTGTGTGTGTGTGTGTACCTCTTTCATGGCTGCATAGGCTTGCAGAACGCCGAAGTAGCTGCGATGCCACGGGTGATGGGTGATGGGTGATGGGTGATGGGTGATGGGCGATGGGTGATGGGCGATGGGTGATGGGATGGGGTGAAAATATTGGGGCAAACGGAGGGAATGACAAGCAGCAAAGAGAGAGGCGGTGGGAAGTGTGGGGGGGGAGAGGAGGAAGGAGAGAGGAAAGAGGGGGCCATAGAAAACAGCAGAAAACGGAAATAGCAGCTGCACTAGCAGAATTTCGGGCAGCAGACTAGTTGATGAGAGGAGGAAAGGCGGGAGAGAAGGAGAGATGGGAGGAGGGAGGGAGGGAGGGAGGGAGGGAGGGAGGGAGGGAGGGAGGGAGGGAGGGAGGGAGGGAGGGAGGGAGGGAGGGAGGGAGGGAGGGAGGGAGGGAGGGAGGGAGGGAAGCCGGGAGGGAGGGAAGCCGGGAGGGAGGGAGGGAAGCCGGGAGGGAGGGAAGCCGGGAGGGAGGGAGGGAAGCCGGGAGGGAGGGAGGGAAGCCGGGAGGGAGGGAGGGAAGCCGGGAGGGAGGGAGCAGGGAGCAAAGAAAGGAAAGGGAATCGAGCCTCACTGGACAACAGCAGCACTGGCAGGATTGGCAGGAGCCTGGCCTCCCCCTGCCCCCGCCACAAACATGCCTTCCATTGGCACAGCAGCATCAGCTGGGAGAGGGAACCTGGAGAGGACGGGGCAGGGCAGGGTAGGGCAGGGAGCACGTTTTCAAGGCACATCAGAAGCAGAAGTGGCAGCATTCGCATGACAGGAGCCTGCCCCACCCCTGCTCCCGCCACAAACATGCCATTCATTGGCACAGCAGCATCTGCTGGGAAAGGGAACCTGGAGACGGCAGAAAAGGGACCTTTATGGTGTTTTTTTATTTATCATGATAACATCTTCATAGGCGCTTGAATTCCCCTCGAATTTGCCATAACTATGCCATGCCTTCCCGTCCACTCCACTGGCACATGGCAACATCAGCGAGAAGAGGGAACCCGGAAAGGAGAGGTCATATTGGTGCAACTCTTGAGAATTCAGCGATTCTTGAGAAAAGTCGCACCAATACAGCGAGAAGAGGGAACCTGGAAAGGAGAGGGCAGGACAAAGAGCACCTGAGTGGATGCAGGAGAGGGTAGATCAAACAGGATTAGAGTAGGAGACAGAAAAATAACAGTGCCACTCCTATTCTCCTCCTTCACTTTGTTTCAGCATGTTGGAATGCAACAGAGAAACCATAAATGCATACATACCACACATGCACGCACGCTCGCTCCCACACACCTGGAGAGGACTTTTGAGTCGACTCAAAAATGCATACGTACACACATGCACGCACGCACCTGGAGAGGAACGGAAGCACCACTGTAGCTGCTGCTGCGTCAGTGTCCTTGGTAGCGGCCGGCCTTCGTTGTCTCCTTCTGCCCGCTGCTGGCGACGTGGATTTGCCAGCTGCTGCTCCTGCTGCGCCCGGCTTACCCTTGGCCGGGCTTCCCTGCTTTGTCAGAGGGGATGGGTGAGTGTGGGGGGAGTTGAGTCTGAAGAGTAAGCGTGGACCGTCTCGTCTCCACCTGCTGCTGCTCCTGCTGCGCCCGGCTTACCCTTGGCCGGGCTTCCCTGCTTTGTCAGAGGGGATGGGTGAGTGTGGGGGGAGTTGAGTCTGAAGAGTAAGCGTGGACCGTCTCGTCTCCACCTGCTGCTGCTCCTGCTGCGCCCGGCTTACCCTTGGCCGGGCTTCCCTGCTTTGTCAGAGGGGATGGGTGAGTGTGGGGGGAGTTGAGTCTGAAGAGTAAGCGTGGACCGTCTCGTCTCCACCTGCTGCTGCTCCTGCTGCGCCTGGCTTACCCTTGGCCGGGCTTCCCTGTGTTGTGCATGTGGGAGAGGAGCGACACGGATGAAACAATCACACAGAGGAAGAACGAGCAAGGGTGGGGCGAGTCGAGTTTGTGGAGGGCCGTCTCTGACTCGTCCTGCCAGCTGCTGCTGTTGTTGCTGCTGCTGCGCCCGGCTTACCCTTGGCTGGGCTTACCCTTGGCTGGGCTGGGCTTCCCTGCTTACCATGCACAGGAGGAGAGGCAAACGGGATGAGCAAGTGTGGGGAGAGTTGATATTGAAGAGGGGCGTCGCTGTCTCGCCCTGCCTTCTGCTTGAGCAGTTGAAAGCAAGGAGCCAGGAGAACCGAACGAGGAACTAGGAAGGCTTGACACATAGGAAGGAGTGTGTTGGTAAGAAGAGGTGTGCGCATGTGGGAGGTTTAGCATGCGTGTGCATGCTCATATGATGTGTACATATGTGTGCACGCATGCATGTATGCATGCATGAATGTGTGTATGCATGCATGTTGCATGTATGTATAGTGTAGGCATGCAGGCACGGATGGATGGATGGATGGATGGATGGATGGATGGATGGATGGATGGATGGATGGATGGATGGATGGATGGATGGATGGATGGATGGATGGATGGATGGATGGATGGATGGATGGATGGATGGATGGATGGATGGATGGATGGATGGATGGATGGATGGATGGATGGATGGATGGATGGATGGATGGATGGATGGATGGATGGATGGATGGATGGATGGATGGATGGATGGATGGATGGATGGATGGATGGATGGGATGGATGGATGGATGGATGGATGGATGGATGGATGGATGGATGGATGGATGGATGGATGGATGGATGGATGGATGGATGGATGGATGGATGGATGGATGGATGGATGGATGGATGGATGGATGGATGGATGGATGGATGGATGGATGGATGGATGGATGGATGGATGGATGGATGGATGGATGGATGGATGGATGGATGGATGGAAGGATGCTTCCATGCATGTATCAGCACCATGGTGATGGTACACCACACCACACCATACCATACCACACCATACACTACCATGGACGAGGCAAAGAGCGCCAGCAGGTGAGCAACACACTGCAGCAGGTCATGTATGATGCATGACGGATGCATGTACGTGTACATGTATTTATCAGGCGCTTGGCGATGGTACACCCAACAGCACCCACACATTACCTTGGACGTGGCAATGAGCGCCAGCAGGTGAGCAGCACACTGCAGCAGGTCATGTATGATGCATGACGGATACATGTACGTGTACATGTATTTATCAGAAGCTTGGTGACGGTACACCCAACAGCACCCACACATTACCTTGGACGTGGCGATGAGCGCCAGCAGGTGAGCAGCACACTGCCGCGGGTCATAGCTCTCCATCTCATCCATGTCATCCTGGCCACAGAACAGAACGGTAAAGAACAGGGAGAGAAGGAAAGATGCCACTTTCTGAGGCGCCTCAACAGCACACTGCTGTGGGTCATAGCTTTCGATCTCATCCATGTCATCCTGGCCACAAGAAAAGGTCAACCATCAGGTAGGGGGGAATGAGAGGTGTGTCAGTTTCTGAGGCGCCTCAAGAATACCAGCAAACCCCTTCTCCAACCCATCGTAGGTCAAAATGTTACAACTTAGGCTTAGAACTGATACATTAATAATGAGCTTGAAGCTCTTTAAGTACATCCAAGAAGGGTAGGGAATGGATGGGGAAGGGAATGAGAAAAGGTCAACCATCAGGTAGGGGGGAATGAGAGGTGTGTCAGTTTCTGAGGCGCCTCAAGAATACCAGCAAACCCCTTCTCCAACCCATCGTAGGTCAAAATGTTACAACTTAGGCTTAGAACTGATACATTAATAATGAGCTTGAAGCTCTTTAAGAGGGAATGGATGGGGAAGGGAATCGGGGGCAATCCCTAGGAATTGGGGGTAATCCCAAGGCAATCTCCAATTGGTGGGTTGGAGATTGCTTGGAGATTACATTTGGGTTTGGTTGGGATGTAGGTGAACACCCAACCAAACACAAAGTGCAAACTACACTACTCTAGGATATAGAAAATATAAAGCACAAAGTGTGAGATTGAGGGCTAACACTAACACAAAACTCTCAATCTCATCAATGCCACCCTGGCAACAGAAACACAGAAAAACGTGTAGAGGGGGAAGAAAGAGAAGTGTCGGTTTCTGAGATGCTCCAAAGAAAAGGCTGCCCTGGATGATCATAGCTCTTGATCTCAACCTAATCATATTCAAGGTACCATAATCACCGATTTTCTCAGCGCGTGAAAAATACACGAGAGCAGTAACTAGAAATAAAATTAAAATTGGGAAAACACCAACAGCCGCCACTCACTAGATCCGTGGGTAGGTTCCGTCGCACGTACTCCTCCTCGTCCTCTTCCCAGAGTTCCAAATCCTGCCGCCCAAAAAGAAGCACAGAAAGGGCGCCCCATAACCTTAGTGTCGTTGACCAGAACGAGCAAAGACTGATGAAAGCAAGTTGGAGAGGGACCCCCCCAGATGAAACAGTCAGGCAGGCAAGGCAGTAATTTGATTGAGACTATGGAGAAACCTTTGAGGCCCCTCACCACTTGTATCACTTCACGCGGATGCAATGCAACATGCAAGGAATAAGAAGTTTATTCAATACATGTGTGAGTGGAATTGTTGAGTGCACAGATACAGTTCAATCGACGTGCCTTCACCGCGATAACAAGGAGGCGCACTCATGTGGGGGTGCAAGCAGTAAGCGTTAATAAAAAAAGAGAAAGAGGTTCAGGGGGGGGTGGGGGAGGGGAGGTGGGGAGGGTGCGGAGAAAAGGGGGGAAAGGGGGGGAGCGGGAGAGGGGTGCTCACCTGGGGGTGCAGGCAGAGAGCGGGGAAGATGGCGGCCTCTAGCAGGTGGGCGAACTGCGGAGCCACCACCTTCCAGCCCTGTGGGCACATAGACATGGGGGGCGTGGTGGGAGCATGGATGGGGGAATTGGGGGGATTCAGCAGGGGGGTTGCTGTTTGGGGAAGATGGCGGCCTCTAGCAGGTGGGCGAATGCGAATTGGGGAGCCACCACCTTCCAGCCCTGCATGCATGGGGCAAGATTGGGGAGGGCGTGGGGCACGGCACGGGCGGGGGAGCGGCAGTGGAATGAGTTTCCAGAAGCGTGAACCCTATGAGACTGAGGCGTTGGCTCTCCAGTTGGCCTCTGCTTTTGAGTCGACTCAAAAGTTTCCAGAAGAGTGAACCCTATCAGACTGAGGCGTTGCCTCTCCAGTCCAGTTGGCCTCTGCCAGATGGGCGAATTAGGGAGCCACTGCCTTTCAGCCCTGCAGGCATAAGGGCATGGAGCGTGGGGGAAAGGGGTATGGGGTGGAAGTGGAATAAAGTCTTATTAGAGTGAACCCTATCAGACTGAGGCGTTGGCTCTCCAGTTGGCCTCTGCCAGATGGGCGAATTAGGGAGCCACCGCCTTTCAGCCCTGCAGGCATAAGGGCATGGAGCGTGGGGGAAAGGGGTATGGGGTGGGGTGGAAGTGGAATAAAGTCTTATTAGAGTGAACCCTATGAGACTGAGGCGTTGGCTCTCCAGTTGGCCTCTGGCAGATGGGCGACCTGCGGAGCCACCACCTTCCGGCCATCTTCCAGCCACCACCTTCCACCACCTTCCAGCCATGCAAGCATGGGGGCAGGGGGCGAGGGAGCGAGCATGGATGGGGGAATTGGAGAAATTCAGCAGGGGGTTGCTGTTTGGGGAAGATGGCGGCCTCTGGTAGATGGGCGACCTGCGGAGCCACCACCTTCCAGCCCTGCAAGCATGGGGGCATGGAGCGTGCGTGGGGGGACGAGGGCGCGGGGAGGAGATGAGGGCATGAGGAGATGACTCGGGCGCACAAGAACACCAGTGCAGTGCGGTGCAGTGCGGCATTAGTCACTGAGCTACTTCAGTTCAAGTCGTCCTCACATGCTCGTGCAAGCAAGTCGGCACTGACAGGGGCAGGCAGAGTGAAGCACTTGAGAGAGATGGCAGTGAGTGAAATGCAAACCCCTGCTACAAGGCAATAGGTTAGATTTTGCCCCCAGTAAATGCAAACACTGCCATCTCTCAAGTAGCAAAATCAGTGATGGCAGTAGATGGCAGTGAATGCAAACTCCTGCTACAAGGCAATAAAGCAAACATGCTTGAGCACTGGTTTTCCCCCCATGCATGGGCAAAACACTTTTAAGAATACCCAAAATTCAATCCAAATTGGGCATGCAAGCAAGGCAAGGAAAACACTGACTGGAGCGGAGTCGAGCACTTGAGAACCGGCAGTGCGTGTACGCCACTGCAATAACACGACGGGTTTTGACTCACCTCAAAAGTTTTGCGGTGCCTGCCTTTGAAGGACTCACCGGAGCGGAGTCGAGCACTTGAGAGATGGCGGTGAACGCCACTGCGATCACACGACGCGCTGCTAATGGGAGCTGGCGGGAGGGAGAGGGATGAACAGGGTGGCGGAGGAGACGGAGGGGGAAAGGAGGAGTGGATGACGGGGGGAGAAGAAGGTGGAGGAAGGAGGAAGGGGGGGGGGGGGGGGGCAGGGAAAGGGCGGGTGGGGAGAAGAGGTTGGGGTTAAACGAGGGGCGGGTTAATCGAGGGGGGAAGAAGGGGTAGGGAATAACTGACAAACACGTGATTGAAGAAGGGTTTTGAGACGTCTCAAAACCCTTCTTCAATGAAGGGGTAGGGAATAACTGACAATCAAGGTGAAGCAGTTGTGTTAGATTGGACCATCAACAGATCAGCAACAACACACTAGAGTGGATAGCAGCAACAGCAACCAGCCCCATGTGGCACAGAAAGGAAGCCCCTGCCACGTGTCTGCACCTTATTGGTCCACAGTGAGTTGCAGACGATGCCTGTGATGCCGTCCACCACGGCAGGAAAGTGCCTGGAAGGCGCACACGGTGGGTGGGACAGGCAACGGGAGGGGAAAAGGAAAGGGACGGGAAGATGGAGAGGGAATGGAGCAGGGTCTGTTTTTTTTAGAATTCTAAAAAAAAAATTTTGAGAATTCTCAAAAAACAGAAGGGGGTCCAAAGAGCCGAGGAGGTGCGGTAGTGGGGAGGGGAGGAAAGAGTGACCTGCAGAAGGGAACCAAGCAGAGAACATTACTGAGGTGCATGTGAATGTGAACATACTTTCATTTAAAGAGGCACTTGATTCAAGCATGCTTGCCTTTCACCAGTGCAAGCAAGGCGTTACTCACTCGTTCATCAGCAGCTTCTGGTGTCGGCTGGCCAGCCAGAGCATGGCAGACCTGCTGATATTTGAGTGGACTCAAAAGGCGTTACTCACTCACTCGTTCATCAGCAGCTTCAGGGGGTGTCGGCCAGCCAGAGCATGGCAGGCCTGCAGCACCCACTTGCATCCCATTTGCATCTGTGGATTACCATTGCTTGCATGTTAGCTTTGAGTCAACTCAAAAGCACCTACAACCGCACATGGATTTGTATCTGTGGATTACCATTGCTTGCATGTTAGCCCTCTAAAACACCACTAGCTCAGCCACCCATTATCTCTGATGGTTCCTTTGACGTATCCATATCAATGCAATGACCGCTTGAGATACAAGCTAACACTGGAAACCAAGTCACTCACTTGTTTGTCAGCTTCTGGTGGCGGCTGGCCAGAGCATGGCTGATCTGCAGCGCTCACTTGCACCCCTTCAGCCGCACCTCCCACATGAGAATCCTTGCATTTGTGAGACGAGACACGAGTTACCAAGTAACACTGGAAGCAGAGAGCCACTCACTTGTTGGTCAGCTTCTGGTGGCGGCTGGCCAGTGACGACACACGAGTTACGGAGTAACACTAGAGGCAAGCACTGGCACTCACTTGTTTGTCAGCTTCTGGTGCCGGCTGGCCAGAGCATGGCAGATCTGCAGCGCTCGCTTGCACCCCTTCAGCCGCACCTCCCACACTGCTGCTGCACCTCCCCCCTCTGCCCCCCCTTCCCCATCCATCACTTCCCCCTCCTCCTGCCCTGCTGCTGCTACCGCTGCTGCGAGGGTGGGCGGGCAGTGTGAGAGCAGCAGCAGCAGCTCTGGGACGATGCTGTCTATGTGCTTGCGGATGGCTGATGGCATGTGGCTCTGAACCTGTGGCACGAAGATAAGAGCAAGGGGAGATTCAGCATGAGAGCAGCGGCAGCAGCAGCAGCAGCAGCAGCAGCAGCAGCTCTGGAACAATACTGTCGATGTGCTTGCGGATGGCTGATGGCATGTGGCTCTGAACCTGTGGGGGAGGGGGCAAACCAGGGTGTTAGACGGCGTTGGATTGGATGGGCTAACGAGAGAGATGAACATTGCAACTTTGCAGGACAGCATTGGGGTTTGAGAATTCTCAAAAACCAGAGAATTCTCAAAAACCAGAGAATTCTCAAAAACCCGATGGCATGTGGCTCTGAACCTGAGGGGGAGGGGGCAAACCAGGGTGTTAGACGGCGTTGGATGGGCAAACGAGAGAGAAGAACAGAACGTTGCAACTTTGCAGGACAGCGTTGGGGTTTGAGCTGCTGCAAAGCGAAGTGATGGCAGCTCAACCCCATCAGTAGCTCAACCCCATCGGTAGCTCAACCCCATCGGTAGCTCAACCCCATCGGTAGCTCAACCCCATCGGTAGCTCAACCCCATCGGTAGCTCAACCCCATCGGTAGCTCAACCCCATCGGTAGCTCAACCCCATCGGTAGCTCAACCCCATCGGTAGCTCAACCCCATCGATAGCTCAACCCCATCATTAAAAGATGCAGAGGCGATTTGAAGCGCCTCAAGGAGACAGCTGAAGGGTTCATAGACTGAACGATGGAGGTGCATGCAGGCAGACAGGTAGGCATGTATGTGCACTCACAGAGAGGCGCACTCACAGAGAGGCGCACTCACAGAGAGGCGCACTCACAGAGAAGTGCACTCACTGAGAAGTGCACTCACTGAGAAGTGCACTCACTGAGAAGTGCACTCACAGAGAAGTGCACTCACAGAGAAGTGCACTCACAGAGAAGTGCACTCACATAGAGATGCACTCACAGAGAAGTGCACTCACATAGAGATGCACTCACAGAGAGGTGGAGAGTCTTGAGAATAAGCAGCAGCGCTTCATCATGCGCAGATGGTGCTCGGGGGCTTGACTGTTGTGCCTGTGGAGTGGGTACAGGGCGAGGGGAGGGAGGGGCATGCAGGCGAGACACAAAGAAGATGGATTCGAGGAGAGGCATGAGACAGCAACAGGTCGAAGGAGGCAGATGGTTCGAGCATGATCATGCCATGCGATGTGATGTGATGCCATGCCATGCCATGCCATGCCATGCCATGCCATGCTCCATGCGTATCGCACACATCACCTTGTCCAGCAGTCAAACACGCCTGAGCCGCAATGAGGTGGTGTATGAGTGGCGTGGCATGATGGACAGCAGAGCAGCAGGTCAAATGCAATCGCTTCCAGCACTATCATGCCATGTAATCCTTTGTCATTCCATGCCATGCCATGTCATGCTCTGCCATGCTATCGACACGCCATGCCATGCCATGCCATTCAAGCAGTCACATACACCTGAGCGGCAATGAGTGGTAGCAGCACAGTACCATGCCATGCCATGCCATGCCATGCATTGCACTGCACTGCACTGCACTGCACTGCACTGTCCTATGATGAAAACACACATCTCCTGTCCTACAGTCACACCTGGGCCGCAATGAGGTGGTGCATGAGGGGCATGAACATGAGTGGCAGCAGCAGCAAGTCTGCTGCAGTCGCTTCCAGAACTATAATGCCATGCCATGCCATGCCGTTCAAGCAGGCAGTCACACACACACCTGGGCCGCAATGAGGTGGTGCATGAGGGGCATGAGCAGCAGCAGCAGGTCCGACGCAATGGCTTCCAACACTATCATGCCATGCCATGCCATGCCATGCCATGCCGTTCAAGCAGGCAGTCACACACACACCTGAGCCGCAATGAGGTGGTGCATGAGTGGCATGAGCGGCAGCAGCAGGTCCGATGCGATTGCTTCCAGCACAGGCGGCACCGGCTCCTTGTCGTTGGTAGGATCCAGGAAGTACTGTGGGGGGGAGTGGAAAAATAGTCAAAGAGGTTGAGGAGGACGAAGAGACAGGGAGGAAGATGAGTGGCAGCAGCAGGTCCGATGCGATTGCTTCCAGCACTGGCAGCACCGGCTCCTTGTCGTTGGTAGGGTCCAGGAAGTACTGTGGTGGGGGGAGGAGGGAGTTGAACACAGAGAGGAGCATGAGTGGCAGCAGCGCTTCCAACACAGGCGGCACCGGCTCCTTGTCGTTGGTGGGGTCCAGGAAGTACTGTGGGGGAGGGGAGTGAGGAGTCGAAGAATAAAGAGAGAAAGAGGAGAACATGAGTAGCCGTTGCTTCCAGCACAGGCGGCACCGGCTCCTTGTCGTTGGTGGGGTCGAGAAAGTACTGTGGTGGAAGGGGGGAGTGGAAAAGTGTTGTCTTTTGAGGCGCCTCAGAAGTCAATTGCTACCAGGCTACCGGCTCTGGGGGCACCGGCTGGACTGGAGACACGTGATTGAAGAAATGTTTTGAGACGTCTCAAAACATTTCTTCAATCAATTGCTACCAGGCTATCGGCTCTGGGGGCACCGGCTGGAGGAAGTGTTGTCAAAGGGGGAAAAGGGCGTGGATTGGGAGGAGGGGTGGAAGGAAGAAGAGGCAGAGAGAAAGCCGAGGAACATCAGCCATAGAGATTACTCTCCCCTCCAAGCCTTTGTTCCTTCACAAAAGGAAGTGGACTTCATAGAAACCACAATGAAGCCCCTTGTGAAATATCTCAAAAGAGATTCTAACATAGTTGAGGCGCTTCGAAAATAGATCTCTGATAACTTGAGAGACCACTCGGAAAGAAGTGGTATAACCATAATCACCTCTGAACTGAAGGACAGTGATCAGTCGCAAGCCCACTCAGAAGGACATACCCTGTATGGCTTCGTGACAGCACGAAGGACTGTGAGCACAGTGACTGTAGAGAATGTCGCTGCAGCAGAGGCGGGATCCGACGGCCCAGGAGCAGCGGCGGAGGCGGAACCGATGGCTCGGATGAGATCGCTGGAGAGCAGCGCTGCTTTGAGGCCTGGAAGCAGCTGCGGCCAGCCCGACGGGGAAGCCAACTCGGTGCGCACAACGGCAGAGAACTGATGGGGTGGGAATTGGGAGAGGAAAGGGGAGGGGAGGAAAGGGAGGGCGAGGAAAGCAGAGCGGCTTTGAGGCCCGGTAGCAGCTGGGGCCAGCCAGAGGGGGGAGCCAACTCGGTGCGCACGACGGCAGAGAACTGATGGGGTGGGAGGGGAGAGGAGGGGAGGGAAAAGGGGGGAAAGGGTGAGGGGACTGAAGAGTTTCGAATGAGATGAAATCACTGGAGAGCAGAGTGGCTTTGAGATTCACTCACTCACATCCTCTCAGAATCCAGATACACTGCCACACGCACATCTTTTGAGGCGCCTCAAAAGTCGCCTCAGAATCCAGATACACTGCCACAGGCACTTCCCCTCCCATCCCCTGCGATCACGTACCACTTCAATAAGCACGCTCAAGATCTTCCCCTGTCCGCACGCACCGCAGTAGCACCTCCACCAGTTGCACCCGCACTGTATCCTGCTCCTCCTTTTGCAGGGAGTTTCACCCCCGTTACAACTACCCACAAGAACAAGCCACTATCTCTATACAGCCACATACCGCTTCAATAAGAACGCTCAGAATCTTCCCGCGGGTGCACCACAGTAGCACCTCCACCAGTTGCACCTGCACCGCCTCCTGCTCCCTGTGGCTGGTGGTAGAGGCACTCATGTTCCCTCTGAATCTACCTACACGCACATTTCCTCCCATAGAACCACTCATACCGCCTCAATAAGAACGCTCAGAATCTTCCCCTGCCCAGACCGCAGTAGCACCTCCACCAGTTGCACCCGCACTGCCTCCTGCTCCTCCCTTTAGAGTCACTCATATCCCCTCTGAGACTACCTTCAGGCTAATTCATTCCCCTAGAATCACATACCGCTTCCATGAGCACGCTGAGAATCTTCCCCTGGGTGCACCGCAGTAGCACCTCCACCAGTTGCACCCCTCCTGCTCCCTGTTTGAGTGTCACACCTCCTTTGGAACTACCCACAAGAGCAAGCCCTCCCCACCCCCTTTACAGTCACATACCGCTTCAATAAGCACGCTCAGAATCTTCCCCTGCCCAGACCGCAATAACACCTCCACCAGTTGCACCCGCACTGCCTCCTGCTCCTCCTTCCCCCCGGGCAGCTGCACCCGCCCCTTGCTGCCCGCGCCCCTCCACTTCGCCACCGCCACGTTCTTGAAATACAGGGCCGCGGGGAGGGCTGCTGGGGAGTTGGGCACTGGGGGAGGAACGGGGGGGAAGGAGGGGAGGAATGGGAGGGAAGGGGTGAGGGTGTGACAGTAGAGTTCGGGTTTTGGTATGAAGTGTTGAGTCCGATTGCCGAGTGCCACCCGCAATGCGATTGCACGGAGAATGTACGGTCGAAATCTCAATGGCACGGCTGAGATCGCATCGTACGGCCGAGATCGGCTCGAAAGGGAAAGAAGGACACCTCTTCCCGCACGAGGTGGCAACCGCACGGCGAGAGTCAGAATGAGAATGGGGACGAGGAGAAGCAGGGGGGACGAGGAGAATCAGGGGACGAGGAGAAGCAGGGGGGCGAGGAGAAGCAGGGGGGCGAGGAGAAGCAGGGGGGCGAGGAGGACGAGAACTATGTGAACGAATCTTCACCTGCTCCGAAAATGCGTCCGCCTTTGAGTCGACTCAAAAGCGAGGTGTCAACCGCACGGCGAGAATCAGAATGAGAATGAGGACGAGGAGGACCAGAACAAGTGGAACGAATCTCGACCTACTCCGAAAATGAGGTCGTTTTTGAGGCGCCTCAAAAACGACCTCAATGAGGACGAGGAGGGCCAGAACAAGTGGAACGAATCTCGACCTACTCCTCCGAAAATGCGGGAGACCGAAGCTCGTCTCCAGAATCCTAAGCGAAGTAAACGGCGACCTCGCGAGGTGCGCGAAGGGAACGATCCGGGGGAAAGAAGAGTGGGGGAAGGGCGGCGGCAAACTATGAGCACCTGCTGCGACGGACAACACGTGGCCCAGGAATCCCGGGTGCTTGGAAGCTTCCTCCAACGCTGAGCTGGCGGATCGCACGGCCGCCTCGTCCGCGCTCGTCGTCTGCAGCAGCCACGCGCACACCGCGTCCGCGCTCACCGCCGCCATGCCGCCCGCTATAGTCACGCGGGGGTGAATAGATAGAAAAACTTTCTAGGATGCGTGAGTTGCGGAGACTAGAGGCGTGCTGCGCCGATTGCTGCCAAATCTGGTATGGAGGTGTTTCCGAATTCGGGATTCGGGAAAGGGTTGAGGGTATGGGTTTGTGGTCTGCGTGAAAAAGGATGATCAATCCGTTCCAATCTAAACCCGCTACGAATTCCTCCGTTATCAGAATGGTATACGACTGAGGGTCTACCAAGGGTTATTGTTTTCTGAAGGTTCAACCCCAACCCAAGGAGACCTCTATAAAAGTCCCATCATTGTAGCAATGCGATCGGATCAGACCGTAATGCGTTGCCTCTTAATGACTACAGGAAATTGAGGCTCAATAAGCGCTTGGGAATTCTCTTTCTTCAATCCGTTGAATGGGGGACGAGGCGCGTTCAGGCACTCAACAACCAGAAGCCGCGTCAGCACCTGCCGGCCAGCCACGGCGGCGATGCGAGGCTCTGGTGGAACTGCCTGGCCAATCGCGATCTGCCGCACGTGGCGTCGGTGCAGTGTCGCCGAATCTCCGGCTGCCAGCTGGCGAGCTCCGATTGCACCGCCGCGGGATCGCCGCGCGGCGGCGCGCAATGGGTATCGCACGGCGGCAGCGAGACCTGCCTATGATGCGTTGACTCAGTCAAATCAGTCAGATCAGTTGACTCTGTTGACTCAGTTGACCCAGTTTACCCAATTGACTCAATCATCAACCAAATCCTCTCTCCCGCATCATATACAGTCGCTTCGGCTGCTGTCGCCAGTCTCCCCTATTCTTGGCGCGCAATTTCCTCCATTCCCGCGCGGGCGTTATGACGCGCAAGCCGCAATCGTTCCGCCGATCGCCCCCCAAGTCTTCTCCCCGCGTGGGCTGGCCAGCGGAGGGAGATTCGCTGTGGCGGAGGATTTGCGGGAGCGATCCGCAGCTGCAGAGGCTGCGGGGGGAAGGGGAGGAGGCGGAAGATGGGGAGGGGGGAATTCAGGCGGCTGGCGGAAAAAGGGTGCCGAAAAGGCGGCAGAGCATGTGGACGGGTGGGGAAGAAGAAACACCGGCGCGCGGAAAGGGGGGAGTTTGAGCGGGGGCGGAAGGCGGGAAGGGCTCGCAGGGGCACAGTCGACGGGGGGAGAGCAGGGCGCGCGGGGGAAAGAACGTAGCGGGTCCGCTGGAGGGAAGAGCGGGGAGGGCGCGGAGAAGCTTTCCCCCTCCGCTGGGCGGGAGATGGAGAGGTTGCGCGACAATCTTCTTAGGATCGTAAACGCCTTAGTCGGCAATAGTCTACTTGCTATTGCTTATCGTGTTCTCCACGATCACCCGATTCCAATGATATGCGCAGCTCTGCTTGAAGTTGTCAATACACACTTCAGCAATTTTCAGAATCTCCAAGTTATGTTTTCCAGAATGAGTACAAGCAGTTTTATAGTCAAGCAAGTCACAAAATGCGATTCGTAACTTCACTTGTTTCCCAAGTAACCGCGTGCGCCTCGTTTCACCCCGAGTCGCACACGGAACCGAACCGAATTCGGTGAACACTCCTCAAGACCGAATCTGGAACCTTCTCGAACGCGCCTTGGTCCCAGACCACAATTTCCCCCGTCGATCTCATCCTCGATGCTTCTCCTTCTCTCTTCCTCCATTTCTTTGGTTCCTTCTCGATTTCTCTCCCGCTTCTCACGCCGTAGGCTGATTTCCACCGTTTCACCTAGAATCATCCACGCGCTTCCATTTCGCCGTCATTCCGCCGTCGTAGAGACTTTCGCCATAGGTTCCATGGTTGGGCGAACCAACCCTAACAATCTCCCCTGTGGTTCGTCAACCACGAACTCCACTCGCACTCCTCCCCTGCTCCTTGTAGCCTTCACAGGGTCTAGGTCGGCTTCACACTCCCCTGCAGCTCCTGCACCTTGAACCTCTGCTTACGTGTCTTGAAGTTGAGCGCCTTGACATCCAAACCTTGAGAGATTTTCTTAAGCCTCTCACTTCTCCTCGGCATCTTTACACCCAACACCTCTCGGGTCTCGTACCCTTCAACGCGTTCATCCTCCTTACGCACTTGCCCCTTTGCAGTTGCATTCGCCTTTGATCCTTTCACCATGATGTCCCCTTTCACAGCTTCAACTCCCACACACTTCGCATTTACTGCTTCATCTTCAACCACGATCGCTGCTGCAAAAGTGTTGACATCGTCTCCATCTCCACCGTTTACTGCTGCTGCCTCCATGGTCACTATCTCCTCTTCCTGCTTCACTGCTGCCTCCACACTCGCAGCCATATCATCCGAGTCCTCACTCTCATCATCCTCAGTAGACTCAGTATCCTCATAAATCTCATCCTTATCGTTCGTCGCGACCAAGTTCATCTCATAGAACCCATCACTGAAGTAACCATCAGCATACTTCTCCCACTCAGGACCAAACACTGTAACCTCGCCTTTGTCATAAAATATCTTGCACCCCAAGTCATCAAGCTGTGACTGACTCATCAAATTCACCTTTAAATCCTCAACCAAGAGCACATTCTCCAGTTTCACCTCTCCATACGGACTTTGCAGCACCACGTCACCCTCTCCTGTCACTGGGAACTTCCCACTGTTACCTTGCAGTATATAACGCTCACTCGACTCCCTCACGTTCTCCATCCAATCTGACCTGAATGTCATGTGACGCGTGCATCCGCTGTCCATGAACCATGCCGTCTTCTCACGTCCGTCCGTCTGACGAACATCCTTCGGTAAACGCACCACGTTCGCACGATGCGCTCCTCCCAAAATCACATCCTCCTTTTCGGCTTCCGCTACATTCGCCTTACCCGCCACAATCCTCTGCTGCGACGGACCCTTGTAGCTCCTGCTGTTCGGATTGGAGTAGCACTCTGCGGCACGATGCCCATAGCGCCCACAATAATCGCACTTGTCGCCAAAACCTCGTTTCTGTTGCCACTCTGCTCCCCCATTTACTCCTTTCTCGTTCTCCACCGCTTTGCCCTTGTAGTTTCTGCTTCGCGGGTTTTCGTAGCAGTTTATCGCCTTATGCCCCCTCTTTCCACACTGGTAGCACGCTCCAAACGCCTTCGTTGCATTCACCAAAGCCGGCCTCTCCTCGTCGAAATCCGTAGCTGCTGCTGCCGCTTCCTTTTTCCTCATCTCCTTCACCGTCTCAAGCGATTGCAGAATCTCCTGCAGCTTCGTCAAACTCTCCGGCGGTTGGTACGTAAACATACCTATGTCGGATTCCCACTCCTTAGGAAGGCCTTGGATGATATAGTCAATCATCTCGTGCTCCGTCTCCGCGGCTCCCATCACCCGCAAGTCGTCGTTGTAGTTTTTCGCCCTGTTGATGTAGGTGATGATTTTCTCGCCTTTCTCCATGCTCAGCATCAGCAGTTGCTTCCTAATCGCCTTCTTGTTGACATCGTTCGTGCCCATGTACGTGGACTCCAGGTACTCCCACGCTTTCTGTGCAGAGTTCAGCTCCCCTGCAAACTGGTCCAAATCCACCGCGATTCCATCGGCAACTGAGTGACAAAGCTGAAAGAACGCTTGCTTACTTAGCTTTTTAAACGCCGCTATTTTCTCCTTCGTATCCGTCGGGGATGGCGCAACTCCCTCCATCGTCTCCTCGTCGGGACGGTAGTACGGCAAGAGGTCCACCTCCTCTGCCCTTCGAATGAACTTCTTTCGCCACACGTTGTAGTTGCTCCCGTTGAAGCGCTGGGCTTCACTGAGCCCGATCGTCGGTTTCGCCACCAATCGGCCACTCGCAAGGGCCTCGAGAAGAGCCTTCAACTGCGGGTCTCCAAGACTTACACTGGAACCCGAACTCGCCTCGTCTCCCATAGCGTAGGCGTGAACGACTCCTCTTCTCCACTAATTTCACTTAGCGCACCAAGTGAATTCACCGCGATCGACGCGCCCGTTCGCCAAGCTCTGATACCAGTTCTTAGGATCGTAAACGCCTTAGTCGGCAATAGTCTACTTGCTATTGCTTATCGTGTTCTCCACGATCACCCGATTCCAATGATATGCGCAGCTCTGCTTGAAGTTGTCAATACACACTTCAGCAATTTTCAGAATCTCCAAGTTATGTTTTCCAGAATGAGTACAAGCAGTTTTATAGTCAAGCAAGTCACAAAATGCGATTCGTAACTTCACTTGTTTCCCAAGTAACCGCGTGCGCCTCGTTTCACCCCGAGTCGCACACGGAACCGAACCGAATTCGGTGAACACTCCTCAAGACCGAATCTGGAACCTTCTCGAACGCGCCTTGGTCCCAGACCACAATTTCCCCCGTCGATCTCATCCTCGATGCTTCTCCTTCTCTCTTCCTCCATTTCTTTGGTTCCTTCTCGATTTCTCTCCCGCTTCTCACGCCGTAGGCTGATTTCCACCGTTTCACCTAGAATCATCCACGCGCTTCCATTTCGCCGTCATTCCGCCGTCGTAGAGACTTTCGCCATAGGTTCCGTGGTTGGGCGAACCAACCCTAACAAATCTGGCGCGGATGCGGCGGGAGGCGCTGGGGAGGGCGCTGGAGAGGGCGGGGCGGGAGGGGCGCGTGGGGTGGGCAGAGGCGCAGTGGCTGGTGGAGGGTATGATGAACAAGGGGGATGGCATTCGCGCTTACAGGGTGAGGACGGAGTGTTATGCTCTGTTGATTGACATTTATCTGGCCATTTTCCATTGAATTCAGACGTAGAAATCGGCACAGCACCTGCATCATGCGCCCTTGCATGCATGTATGCATGTAGGGAGCAACGTCAATTCAGCCCACCCCCTCTTTCTCCCTCGTCTCCCTCAACCTCCCAACTCCCCCTCTCCCGTCCCTCCGGTTCTTCCCTCCAGATACTCCAATGGGCGCAGCAGCAGCCCTTCTACTCGAAACCACTTTTGAAAATTGGCGAAACCACTTTTGAGAATTGGCGAAACCACTTTTGAAAATTGGCGAAACCACTTTTCACAATTCTCGAAAGTGATTTCAATACATCCAGCAGCAGTCCTTCTACTCGCCCGCCCACAGGCAGGGAGGGCGCAATCTCATCTCAATGCAATGCATGCCACACCTCTCTCACATTTCCTCCCATCTCTCCCGTTCCCTCCCTCTCACCTCCCCCCTCCCCCCGGCCCCCACCCGCCCCACCCCTCCAGATCCTCCAGTGGGCGCAGCAGCAGCCATTCTACTCGCCCTCCCCAGCGCTCCTCTCCTCACTCCTCCTCCTCCTAGCGCGCACGCACCGCATTCCACCCATGCTCGCCCTTCTCGACCACTGCCTCTCCCTCCACCCCCACGCACCGCCAGAGGCACAGGGCAGTGTAGGGCCCTCTTCCCAGGCGCTCGTGCCTTGTGTGTCCTCTGAGTCGACTGAAACGGCACCTCTCCACCACACAGCAGTGCCGATGGGGTCGGCTGTGCCGGCGGGGCCAGTGGGACCGGTGGGACCGGTGGGTCCGGTGGGGTCGGCTGTGTCGGCGGGGCCGGTGGGGCCAGTGGGACCGGTGGGGCCGGTGGGTTCGGTGGGGTCGGCTGTGCCGCTGCGCGTGGTGCAGACATGCATGGGCGCGCTGCTGAAGTCGGCGCATGATGAGATGGAGCGCGTGTGGGAGCTGTATGGCATGGGGGAGAGAGAGGGGGGCAGGGGCAGCACACCCGACTGGCTTGTCAATCAGATGTTCGAGGTGCGTGGATGGGTTGTGTGAGTGGGTGAGTTGGTGAGTGGGTGAGTGGATCAGTGGTAGAGAATGGAGTTAGAAGTGAGTGGGTTGTGTTGCTACGCATGCTGCTGAAATCGGCGCATGATGAGATGGAGCGCGTGTGGCAGCTGTATGGCATGGGGGAGAGGGAGGGGGGCAAGGGGCAGCACTCCTGACTGGCTTGTGCAGCAGATGTTTAAGGTGCGTGACAATGAGTGCAAGGGGTTGAAAGAAAAGGGGGAGAGGCAGGGGCAGCACGCCTCACTGGCATGTGCAGCAGATGTTTGAGGTGCGTGGGTCGGTGGGTGAGTGAGTGAATGGGTGGGTGGGTGGGTGGGTGGGTGTGAGTGGGTGTGAGTGGGTGGGTGAGTGAGTGGGTGTGAGTGAGTGGGTGACAACGTGCATTGCCCCTTGTGCTTTGTCCCCACCTCTTCCGCTCCCCACCCCACACCACAACCTATCCCGCCACCCTCTCCTCCCCCTTCGTCCTCCAGGCCTTTTCCAGCCCCAAGTGACGAGGATGGTACATGCACAAGGCAGAGGCGCTTTTACGAACGCCCCCTCACTCTCCTTACTCCCACTGCCCCCCACCTCCCTCCCCTGCTCCACTTCCATCCCCTTCCCTCCCCCTTCCTCTCTGCAGGCCTTTTCCAGCCCCAAGTGGCGAGGGCGCCACATGCACAAGGCAGAGGCGCTTCTGAAAGAGATGAGGGAGAAGAGGGAAGCAAAAAACCATTTTCACCACTTTCTACCACTTGCCACCGTTTCCTCCAGGCCTTTTCCAGCCCCAAGTGGCGAGGCCGCCACATGCACAAGGCAGAATCACTCCTAAGAGAGACGAGGGAGAGGAGGGGGGAAGGGAAGAATCAGCAGCGCAGCTCGGCCCCTCTGCTGCACATGTACGCGTCTCTGGTGCGGCATCATGCCAGGGAGGGCCACGTCAGCAAGGTGGTAACCCTGTTACAGCAGATGCGGGACGACCTGGCGGCATCGGGACGAACGGTGCCGCCCCAGGCAGTCGAAGCGGTGGTGTTTGCATGCACCCGGGCGGTGTATCTGAGCAAAAAGAGGAAAGAGAAAGGGGGAGTGGTGGGGTCGCAGAGAGATATGGGTAGAGGAGGTGGAGGTTACAGCAGAGGAGGCACAGGGGGAGGAGAGGAGGAAGGGGAGTTGGCCGCTGCAGCACTGGCTGATCATGTGTCTGCTGCCATGAGGGAATTACACGAGGCTGTGAGGGCTCGAGGAGGGGAAGGAAAGGGGGATCGAGACAGGAAGAGAGAGGAGGAGGGTGGAGAGAAGGGATATGAGGTGGGTGAGACGGTGTGGGCGGCATATATGGAAACTCTGAACCATGCAGGGCGGTATGAAGCGAGCATTGCTGCATGGCCGCATGTCATGGCGATCAAGAGAGTGGCGGCAGAGTGGCAGGAAAGAGAGGAGGATGATCTGATGGGCGATGCGAGCAGAGGGAGGGTGGGCGAGTGGGAGCGTGCAGCGCGGGGCATGCGTATGGGAAGCAGAGAAGCAGCAGCTGCAGCAGATGCATACGGAGGGGAGAGTCTTTGTCTTCCCGGGCTGCGCGCGTGCAATGCGTATCTTGCAGCACTGGCAGGAGCAGCGGTGGCGAGCGGGGTAATGGGGAGCAGAAGGGAGGCGGAGAGGTGGGGGGAGGAGGCGGAGGGGTTTTTTAGGGCCATGCTGCGGGCGGAGAGAGGGCCGCTCACTGTTGCTGTGAACGCGCTGCTGCACATGTACCTCCACCAGTCACGCCTCAACGACCTGGAGAGGCGGTTCCAAGGGATGAAGGAGGTGCGTCGCATCTTGGGTTGGTATATTTTGGTTCACTCTGCTGGTCCCCATGTACCTCCACCAGTCACGCCTCAACGACCTGGAGAGGCGGTTCCAAGGGATGAAGGAGGTGCGTCGCATCTTGGGTTGGTATATTTTGGTTCACTCTGCTGGTCCCCATGTACCTCCACCAGTCACGCCTCAACGACCTGGAGAGGCGGTTCCAAGGGATGAAGGAGGTGCGTCGCATCTTGGGTTGGTATATTTTGGTTCACTCTGCTGGTCCCCATGTACCTCCACCAGTCACGCCTCAACGACCTGGAGAGGCGGTTCCAAGGGATGAAGGAGGTGCGTCGCATCTTGGGTTGGTATATTTTGGTTCACTCTGCTGGTCCCCATGTACCTCCACCAGTCACGCCTCAATGACCTTGAGAGACGGTTCCAAGGCATAAAGGAGATGCGTTGTGGGTTGGTATATTTGGTTATGCTGCTGCTGCTGTTTCTACTGGGCGCGCTGCTGCACATATACCTCCACCAGTCGCGCCTAAACGACTGCAGTGGTTTCAAGGCATGAAAGAGGTGGGCTCTTCTTGGTTGTAGAAGTGTTTTTGTGAATGCTAAAAACAAACGTGCTGCTGAAGATGTACCTTCCCCTTGTGACGCCTTCCACAGGTGGGCGTGGGGTGTCTCATTTTTGTGCACATGTTTTTCCTGTTCCCATTCTCGTTCTTCCCATCCTTCCACAGGTGCGGGCGGTGCCTTCTTGACCGCACCTGCTACCACTCTTGCTCCTCGGAGGACGATCGAACGTCCACAGGAGCACACGTCCGGTCCTCCTCTCCCTGCTCATCCCACACCTGTCTCATCCTTCCTTGGTTGATTTTCGTGCCTAACTCGCAGGTGGGGTGCCTCCCTGACCTACCTGACTGCACATGGCATGGCAGCGCCCAAGCCCCCGCTCCCCGCTCACCCCACGCGTGTTCCCTCCTTCCGTCTCTCAACCCCGTGCTTCTCCCGCAGGTGGGGTGCCTTCCTGATCGCACATCCTACCACCTGCGACTGGCAGCGCACACCAAAGCCGGCAATCTAGGCATGGCGAAGAAAATCTTCCTCGAAATGAACTCCAACCAGGACGTAGGCGTTGACGCTCACACCTACAACCTCATCATAGCTGCATGCGGCGCAGCAGGCGACACCAGAACGGTCCGTTCACTGTATCTGGACATGGTTGGGAATCGGAAGGACCGGGGGCGGAAACCCGGTATGGTGCTGGTGGGACCAGCGAGGGAAGCGGCGGAAGCTGTGGTGGGGAAGTTGAGGGTTGAGAGGGATGAGACGCGGAGCATGAAGCTGAGTAAGGAGCAGCGGCAGGTGTTGGCAGGGGTGCTGCTGGGTGGCGCGAGGATCGCGGCCCAGGACAACGAACGGACGTATGAGATTCATTTCGAGCAGCCGTTGGATAATCCTGGCCGTGTAGATCTGCTGGAGGGGCTGTACAGGGCGTTTGGGTCGTGGGCGAGTGCGCCGCCCAGAAACATGCTGCTGCTCATGCCGCCCGCCCCAGACGCTCCTCCCGATGCTGCCGCAGCAGCCGCCGCCGCTGCTAATGCCGCTGCCGCATCTGTTTCTGTTTCTGCTGCTGCTGCTGCTGCTGCTGCTGCTGCTGCCGCGACTGCAACTGCTGCAGCTTCTTCCTCTGCCCCACCCGCTGACGTCTTAGCAGCGGCGGGGGTTCGTCCCATCCGCGTGCGTCACTTTGCCACCATCCCCCACACGGCCCTCCGGTACCACGCACAGCGCTACCACCCGCAGGGCCCGCGGGTCATTCCGAAGTTCATACAGCGCTGGCTCACCCCTAAGACGCTCGCGCACTGGTACATGTACAGTGGGCGGCGGTGTGAGGAGACTGGGGGGATGATTCTGCATGCAAAGCAGTACTCGAGTCGAGATTTGAGGAGGATTGCGCGGGCGCTGTGCGTGTCGGTGCGGGATTGTAGCGTGAAGATGAGGTATAGGCGGCCGGGGCAGAGGGTGTTGGAGAAAGGAGGGAGGAAGGCGGGGAAGAGGACGAGGAAGGTGGCGAGGAGTGGGGAGGCGGAGGAGGAGGGTGGAGGAGGGAGTGATAGGTTGAGGTGGAAAGCGCAGATGGGGAGGGTGGCGTTGGAGAGTCCGTGGGATGCGCCGAACCTGATTCGGTTCGGCGGATCCACGGCGACGAGGATGTGGAAGTTCATGGAGGCGCATGTGCTGCCAAGCCTGCGGGATGAGCTTCGGCCAGGCGTAAGGATGAGGGTCGGGGGAGGTGGTTTGGAGGGAGGTGGTTTGCTTTCAGAGAGTGGGGTGAGGAAGAGGGAGGATGGGTGGGAGGAGGAGAACAGGGAAAGGATGGGAGGGGATGGAGGGATGGGTAGGGAGGGCAGAGAGGGGGAAGTGATGGGAGGGGAAGGGAAAGAGGGTGGAGAGGTTTGGTCTGATGATGCATGGGGCTCAGATGGGCAGGATGACAGGGGAAGAGACGAGGATGAGGAGGAGGAAGAAGAGGAGGATGAGGAGGATGAGGAGGATGAGGATGGGGATGAGGAGGACGAGGAGGGGGATGACGATGATGAGAATTGGGACGACGGGGAGGATGAGATGGAAGACGAGGAGTGGGAAGAAGGGGAAGAAGCGGAGCATGGCAGGGAGGAGGAGGACAGTGTGAGGCGTCGCTTCAGCCCACGAGGAGATGAGAGGGTGCATTGGGAAGGGCAGCAACGGTTCAAAGTGGAGGATGATGATGATGCTGGAGAAGGGCCGAGCGATGAGAGAGAAGAGCGAGACATTGGCAGGGCAGGGCTTGTGCAGCAAGAGGAGCAAGAGGCGCGAGAGGGACAAGAGGAAGTGGGCAAGTTTGAGAGGAGATTCAGTCGGGGCCGGTTTAGGGAGAGGGAGAGGGAGAAGGACACACGGGAGGAGATTGGGCTGAACAAGTGGATGCCTCTGGAGCTGGCGCTGTACATGGAGAAGGTGCAGACCCCCGTGTTCAAGAAGAAACCCAAGAAGCGATGATAGTGTTTGTGCTTGTGCGTAGAGAAGAGTTGCCGTGTAGGGTTTAGGGCTTACAGGGTTCTAGGAATCCGAGGGTGCAGACACCCCTGCTGCTTGAAGAAGCCGAAGAAGCAGAAGTGATGCAAAATATGGTATAAAGATTTGAGGGGTAGGGCCAAGGGGTCTTCGACTTGGTACATGGAGAACGAGCAGACGCCATATGTTCAAGAAGAAACTCGAGATTCCAAGAAGAATGGAGTCACCTTCCTTCTCTTGCAATGATCAACAACACCAAACAAGAGTGCATTCAATATTGGGTAGATTGTCCATATGTGGGTTAGTTTCAAGCAGGGCTAAATTTTGGTTTTGAGCAACCCTCATGATCAGTGTTGCACCTATGCAAAAACCTGATTATCAGTGTGACCCCTTAGGAAAATTGTTTTGCATCAGGGTTTAGGCTAGGTTTGAAAATTTTACCCTGAGCCATCAGTGTTAAGACTTTCAAAAACCCTGCTCAGTTGTTGTTACAATGCATTTAGTCCGAGTTGAGTCCTTGGCGTTGTGCAGAACTAAACTGTAATTCTGGCCAAAAGTGGCCCACTTCCTGCCAACACATCTACGGCTGTGGCGCAGATTCAGGTTTTGACGGTTGGCCAACGGAAAGCCTTGATTACGGGAAAGGGGAGGGGTGGGGGTGTGCAGGCCCCACGTTATCAGGGCAAAACATCCTGATTACCCTGAATTCAGGATGCTGTTTTGAATTTACCCTGTCATTTCAGAATAGTGTAAATTTTAACCCTGAGGTCTCAGGATGTTTTTATATGAAATGCCCTGAACATTCAGAATGGCTGTAGTGTTCTTCTCTGTAGCGTCAGGATGAATGCCGAGGCCTGCCCTGACGCGTTTTTTGTTGGGGGGGGGGCGGGGGGGGGGGGGTGGGGGAGGGGATTTTTGTCTCCGTAAGCAATCCCGTCGTTAACCACTCATTCAACCACCCAACCATCCCGAAGTGGCCTAGTCAGTAGTAGAAAGGTACGTACGATAGATGAGGTCCTGGGATCGAACCCACCCCCGTGCAGTCAAACTTCAACTTAAATTTGTCAACCAACCAGTCTGAACCTTGAATACTTGTTTTTTTGCCCTGACAGGTCAGGATTGATTTCTGAAAAAGCCCTGAACATACAGGAAGGCTTCGAAAATTTGCCCTGACAAATCAGGGCATTTTTTACGATTCTGGAAAGGTGCCCTGAGGCCTCAGGGTGCCCCAAATCCTAGCACGGGCCCTGGGGGTGTGGTACGGTACTTGTCAGAGGTCCACTGGTGATCCCCGATCGATCCTAGGGAAGGGTTACAGGTACGTTGGCCTGGGGGGTTATGGGCGCACTCACCCGCTACACAAACAAGCCCTTTTATCCCAATGGTCTAAGTGGTTGGGATTCTGATATGGTATCAGAACGAAGGTCTCGGGTTCGAATCACAGTTTGTGCACTTCGTGCATCCCAGTGCGGGGGGGTGTCAGAGGTCCACTGGTGATCCCCGGTTGATCCTAGGGAAGGGTTACAGGCACATTGGCCGAGGAGATTATGGGCGCACTCACCCGCTACACAAACAAGCCATTTTATCCCAATGGTCCAAGTGGTTGGGATTCTGACAGTACTAGCTTTAGGGTAAAACTCGCTAAGAAGAACGACTACCCTGGTGCATCAATATGCCTTAAACGTAAACCCTGGCTTCTCGGGAAAATCACAGCTAAAAAAAAAATTACCCTGCGGCATCAGTGTGACTACCAAAAACCACCCTAATAATCATGGTATGAGGGTGATTTACACTGATAAAATTAGGCCTGATTTCAAGTGACATTTCAAGCAACAATAATCTACGGTACGCAAATGCATGGAGGTGGGCTGATGAGTCGAGATAGACAAGCAATGAAGTTCGTATGGAAGACTCTTACGGTACCCATCCAGGATCGCTATTTGGCGAGGTTGAAAAAGACTAATGAGTTTTAGTACGGTCCCTACCCTAAACTATTTGTTTTCCCAAATTAACCCCACTATCAACCGATCCAGCGTAGGATAGGTTTTGGGATTGAACATACGGTAGGTGACGCGTCATAGAAATGTACACTTTGACATACTGTTACGAGTGCAATGGAACGAAGTTGCGAGGATTGCACTAGGGTGTCAAAAGAGTACAAAGTATGAGCGAAGGCATGAGCGAATACTTATGCGCGAACCATGCAAACGATAACGCGGTGCGTGCGACCTGTCTAGTGCTACACTGGCAGCGAGGTTCGGGCTAGGCCGACTCGGTTGGGCAAGTAGTGCGAGGTTTGGTGAAACAGTGCGTGCGAAGTTGGCAAAGCCCTGTTAGCAGCAACGGGCGAACAACGGCTGCTGCTGTACGCGAAGTTGATGGTCGCAGTAAGGAATGTCAAGAAAATTCCTTGCACTACCCCCCCCCCCCCCCCTCAAGAAGCCCCCTCCGCTACGCGAGTGCGTGTATATCGCGGAAACCCCGGCTCCTCAGGTACACTTGCAGGGCAGGGTGGTTTTCGATGTTGGCCAGTGGCACCCAGCTATCCTCAGTTGGCGTTCGGTCCTTCCAGCGAACGAGGTTCTCAATCCTCTTGATGCCTGTGGGGTGTCGAATTCGATGGCTCAGGATTTTTTCGGGCTCGATGATCGGCTCCGATGCAGGGCGAGTCATGGATGGTGGTCGGTGACGAGGCAGTTGGCTCTGGTTGGGATGTAAGGGCGAAGCAGGCTGACGTGGAACGATAGGTTGATGTACCAGTCTGTCGGCAACAGTAAATGGGCGGTAAGTGGGCTGATCCTATGGCTGATTTGGAACTGTCCACAGTATCTGGGTTGAAGTTTCGGTACGACGGGCAGTCTTAAGTTCTGTGTGTCAAGCAGTACGTAGTCCCCTCACTTGTACATGACTGGGCGGCGGTGGCGGTCAGCATTTCGTTTTGCGATGACGTTGGCTTTCTTAATTGCTTCTTCGGCTCTAGTGCGGGCAGCTTGAAGAATCTCGAAGAATTGCTGTGCACGTGGCGTTGGGTTGTCCGGAATCGGCGTCATGGGCACTGTTGGGTTTTGCCCGTAGTTCAGGTAAAACGGGGACTACTGCGTCGCTGACGTGGCATTGCTGTACGCGAACTCAATAAGCGGCAACTGCTGCTCCCATATTGTCGGGTCGTTGCACGTGGCGCGGATCAGCTGCTCCATGGTCTGATTGGTCCGCTCCGTTTGACCGTCAGTCTCGGGATGGTACGACGAGCTGAACTGTAGCCTGGTCCCGAACTGCTCCCAGAGGTTTCCAGAAGTTGCTGGTAAACTTCGTGTTGCGGTCGCTGATGAATGCGGCTGGTATCCCGTGCAGTCGAACGACGGTTGCGATGAACAGGCGAGCGGTTTCTTCGGCTGAGATCGATTTCTTGCACGCAGCAAAGTGAGCCATTTTCGTTAATCTGTCAATGACGACCATTACCGCGTCGTTACCCCTAGGGTTCGAGGGCCGCGTCATGACGAAATCCATGGTAACCTGCTGCCAGGCGCGCTCGAGCGTTGGAATCAGCTGCAATTGACCCGCCTTTCTTTTTCGCGAACCCACGTGGTGCTGTACGTCAGTCAACAGCTCTGGCCAGTAGTAATACCGCTGCAGTTACTGTCGCGTTTTTTCTACCCCGAAGTGACCCGAGGTAACCCCGTCGTGTGCCTTCTCCAGTAACATTTCCCTCCGCAGTGAGTACGCGGGTACCCAAATGCTGTTGGTGCCTGTCTTTATGTAATAGACTCCCTTAGCTTCTGCCAGTTGCTGTGAATTTCTGGTCGTGAAAAATGGGTCGGTGCGATATCCGTGGGTGAATAGGACTGTTAAAAGTGAGTTGGTCTGGGCGAGTAGGATGGCGTGAAGTTGGACGGTAGGGTGGGTGAGTGCGTCGGCGACATTTGATGCTCCTTTTTTGTACGTGACGGTGTAGTGGAAGTTGGACTCCAGATAGTCCAACCAGCGGATCTGTCGCGGAATGAGATTCGGTTGGGCGCGGAGGTATTGTAGTGACCGTACTCTCACGTCGGCTCCGAGGAGGTAGCATTGCCACACTTTGAACGCGTGCACGATCGCCAGCATTCCGCGGTCGTGTATCGGGTGGTTGCGTTCGGGCGGGTGAAGCTTGCGGGAATCGTACGCGATTGGTTGAAGGCCGTTCCCGAAGTCCTGCAACAGTACTGCTCCCACGGCAATGTCACTTGCGTCGGTGACGAGCTCGAACGAGCGGTGCGGATCTGCGATGTGAGGCACGAACGGTGAGCACAAAATTTTCTCGAAGGCAGCTTGCTCTTTCTCCCCCCATGTGTACTCAACCCTCTTCCTCAGCAGGTCGGTCAACGGAGCAGTCAACTTAGCGATGCCGGGGACGAATCGGCGCACGTAATTGATGAACCCCAAAAATCTCTGCAGCTCAGTCAAATTTGTTGGCGCGTGCCATGCGTGAATCGTCGCGATTTTCTTCGGGTCTATTTCCACTCCGTCAGTTGAAATAATGTGCCCAAAAAACTCTAGTCGATTCTATAGAAACTCGCACTTAGAGGACTTCGTCAGTAGTCTGTTCTCACTCAGTATCTTAAAAACTGCTTCGATGTTCTGTAGGTGCTGTGCGCGGTCTGGGCTGTAAATCAGTTTGTCGTCTAAGTACACGATGATGCACTTATCTAAGAGCGGGCGGAAGGCTTCGTTCATGGTCATTTGAAAAGTGGCAGGGGCGTTGGTCAGTCCGAATGGCATGACGGTGTATTCGTAGGATCCGTAGCGTGTTCGGTAAGCTATTTTCGGGCAGTCGGGTAGGTTGACGCGAATCTGGTGGTAACCTCCTCGAAGGTCGATTTTCAAGAAAACACGGGCTGTGCGCAGTTGGTCGATCAGTTCGTCAGCTCGCGAGATGGGGTAACGGGACTTGATGGTAACTCTGTCCAGTGCGCGGTAATCGATGCACATGCAAAATCCCCCGTCTTTTG